TCATGTATATGGCTCTAGTTTCTTCTCTCTCTCTGTATTTCGTGTTCGTCCCATTGTCGTAAATGTTCAATTGATAAGGTTATTAGCCATTTGGTTCGTTTTTTTCAGTGTCTCTATCGCTGAATCGATAGAATTCAATGATGACTTTCCCTTGAATACTATTGAAATTGTGCCGTTGCAAACCATTTCACTGGATATTTGGAGTGCGTCATCTAATTTTGTATATTGAAATGTTTGTGAACAACTTTACTCCTATAATCTATTTGTCCTCAATTCAGGAGTTTTCTGCCTTTTTTCTATTTCTGTGACTGCGTCTGTGAATCTGGCGTTAATCTGCTCAATTTTGGAACGCAGAGAGTATGTTTGTGTGTGTGTGTGTGTGAAAGAGAGAGAGAGAATGAAAGGAAAAAAAGGCACGCAAAAGCGGAAAAGATGGTAGGATAGGTTTAGCGGTATCTCATCGTCACCATTGCCATCATTCACTTCCATCCTTTTGATGTCAATGCAACACGAAACAAAAATGAAACGAAAGAGACAGGGGACAAAAAAACCAAGAAGCCAGAGAGAAAGAAAGGGAAAGGATGCGATGTGTATGTCGTACGACACACGAGGTATGTACAAACTAAAATTGAAAATTAACATCTGTAGTTTTCAATGCACAACACGAGACACAACACTCACTCACACATACAAAAACTAACCCATGCTCAGCAATACACGGGGCAGACATATAGAAGCCAGCAAATGCACACGGGGTATATAAGGAATCAAAAAGCGTAGATGAAACACATAAACAGCAGATGTTGTGTTTGAAATATAAAATAAATAAAAATGTACACCACCCGAAAAAAAAACACAGAGAAAAGTGTGTGAGAGAGAGAGAGAGAGTGAAAGAGAGAAATAATACAAATTCGGGCATGTACAGAAACTTTCTGCTTCTATAAATTGAATGTGAATAATGCTAATTTTTTTTTGTTTTAGTTCCAGGCAAAACTCCCGGTTCGTCCATTTAATTTGGTGGCATAGACGAATTTTGCCTGACAAATAAATATGTATCAGATCAGTTCGGTTCGGTTCGGTTCGGTTCGGTTCGGTTTGGTTTGGTTTGGTTCGGTTCCGTACCAACAACAATATGATATTAAATGCAATCGAACTCTCTTATATATGTGACATGAATTTGTCTTTGTGTTAAACTCGTTTCATTTCATGGTGTTTGCGTTAATTTTGGGGTTGAATTTGCTGGTGAACTTGATCGACATATTAATAAAATGCCATTTCTCTCTTCTTCTTCTTTTGTTATAGAAGCGCACATATCCGAATAGCAGTTCATTTTATTTCTCTTTCGTTTCATGTTCCATGCATTAGGATAGATAATTAATTGATAACTATTTTTTATGAGATTAGCCCAAATGCCCATCAATTTTCACGAACAACAATAACTATAACAAATTTTCGCCAACAATAGAATAGAATCGTTTATGACATTTGTCTCCGTGTATCCAGTGTGTGCGAGAATGCGATAGAATATCATCATTTAATAAAGTATTGTACATTTTTAGTGTATGTATAGATGCGCGTAGTGGCTATAAAAACATGAGGTCAATAAACATTTGCTTCGCGTCAGTCGCCACCGAGAATCTCTTTCTCTAGGGTTAAAAGCCAAATGTAACAACACTTTGTGAGCCAGAATTAAGGGTGTATTCCATAGCAATGGCGGCCACTGTCGCTACTGCTGCCAGTTTGTTGTACGTTTTTTTTTTCACCACTCAGTGCTTCATCATTTGCAAAGTTGCTTGGGCTTTGTTATACAGAATGCAATGGATGTGGTATATTTTTAGGTCTTCTCTGCATTGTAATCTTTTTTGGTGTGTTTGCAAAAAGGAAAAAATGCGAAAATGTTGACACATTCACACAAAATTCATTCAAACTGTTCGAACACATGAAAATGAAAACGAGAATGAACCGAGAGAGAAAAACAGACACACACCAAACTTGGGGAGTGAAATATGTAACAGGATATTAATTCAAGAAGAAACAATTAATCGAAAGTGAATGTAATAAGCGAACATAAGGTCATCATTTGACGAAGAAAAATGGATATTGACCACACAATACACGGGATGTGTGTATTTTCTTCAATATACTACGACGCTGTATGCGTGTGTTGATGTATTGCTGTTGTTCCATTTTTTTTGGCTGCTTGTAAGCTTGGATAATATGCTGTAATGTGAGGAAAGCAGGCATAAACGAGTGCTAAAATGCCTCTGAACAACGACGAAAAACGGTTTCGACAGGTGACGGATGTTTCTCTCTCTCTCTCTCTTGTCATTTCTCGTAACTCCCAACGTGCTATTAGTCAGATATACTCACTACGCTGCGACGTAAAGCAAGTCTGCATGGACAATTCATCAGTACGTTAGGTTCTGTTTTTCTTTCGGTTGTTGTTGTTGTATTATTTATTTGTGTACTGAGTCGTATCTTCGAAAAAACGGCGTGGAAAAGTTGTTAAATTATCCAATGATGAAGCATAAGAATGAAAAAGCAGAAAAAAGGCACACACGACGAATGAACAAAAACACACAATCTACAACACAAAATGAAGCGGAGAGGGAGAGAGAGATAGAAAGAGAGAGAGAGAGAGAGAGAGAGAGAGAGAGAGCAAGCGAGCGAGAAAAAATAAGAAGAAAATATAAAAAATACACAACGCCAACCGATAATATTGAACCAAGTTCTTATTATTTGGTTTGGCGCGTGCCCTAACACCGTTTTCGTTATTTGTTCATTATATCGCTTTCGTTGTAGATCTGTGTTTCTCTCTCTCTTTTCCCCGGCTGTTTTGTTTGTTTTCTCCCTCTCTCTCTCTCTCTCTCTCTCGTTTTATTTCTCGCTTCATTTTTCCTCTCAATTACATGTAAACGTCATACAATTCTGCACGTCGACGATGACTACGACGGCAATGGAATATAGCTTTGGTATCGAATGTGCATTGTTCCAAAGCAAATGTATCCGCAAATTGCAACACAAATGGAAATGTAGAGGCACAATGAGACAGCGCCATCGTATTAATGTTGCAAGAAAAATGTACATTAAAATATGTTTTCACAGCATACGATTCTGTATGCGATTTGTTGTTATTGTTATCTATTCCAATTTTTCAGATAACATTTTTCTTTTTTCTACGTCTTTGTTTTTTGCCGACTAAAGAATAATATAGTAATGTCGCAAAAGATTAATAAAAAAAAAATCAATCCGCGAACATACAATCACATGAAATCTACTATATATCTCATTGTTGCAGCCGTTTGTCTCGCTCACTTTCGATTCCCCTTTCGCGGTTCAGCATTCAAATGGCAATGTTTACTCTTACCTTCGAATGTAATGCTTTAGATTTTCTCACTTCTCTTCTCTTCTCCCCACTCAATTCGCACGTTTTGCGTTACTGTTGCCTCCGAGAGGCAGACACCAACAGCATTTTTCGCATAGTTCCTCCATTATTTGATCATTTTAATTGCACCGTGCATATCTAATGCATAATATTGTACTAGAAATGTATCGCGATCTATGATTTGAGATCTTGACTGAACCGTATTTTACATAAGATACGTCATAAACGGCACAATGGCCCATTTTATCACTCAACGCTTATGCATCGTGTTGATCACCGTATATGGACGCACACAATAATAATTGCATTCTACGTATATCACCTCCGCATTCCAATCAGGTTTATTTGATTCTTTTTCTTTATTCGCTGATTTATTTGCAATTTAAATGTCGACGAAAATATCAAAGAGAAATGCATAGAATAGACAGAGAGAGAGAAAGAAAGAGAGAGAATAAATACGAAGTAAAATGGGATTAGGATATTTTGGAGAATTACTTTCGATTAGAAACAGGCCAGATAGAGTGGCCCGTGTTTTTGACTAGAAAATATTTGATATAAGCTCCGAAGTCGATAGATGTCATTTGAAGTGATATTGTGTATTAAAATTTATGGCCAATTTGGTATTGCATCAGCAAACATACATACAAAAAAAAAACAAAAGACGGGCACATGCTCAAAATCGGTTTAACACATAGTAAAATTGCATAATAATCGCATAATACCGAAACAAAAGAGAGAAAAAAACACCGAAAATTGTATACAAAAGAATAAATGACAAGTACTCCTTGTGTGTCTGTGTGATACAAAGGACTTTTATATGTGCAATGTTCAACTTTAACTATACATGTATATATCCATTCCGTGAATCCATAGAAATGCTCAATTTGCATATTGACGCGCAATATGAATTACTAAACTGCAAGAATAACATTTGCAGTCTCTTATTCTGTGTTCGGTTTTGTTTATCGTTTTTCGGTGGATTCATGGAGAGGCACCAACAAGTTAGCATTGTACAAAACAATATGAAGACCTCAGCATTTTCACACGAAAACACAGCAGCAGCAGTACCACTTGCCGAACTAATGAACTCTATAAATTGATTGAAGTTATTTAAATCGATTTTATGACAATTTCAGTGAAATTTCCGTCTGTTTGGCAGTGCCAAATTGGCACTTGTTTCCGAATGAATGTTTGCTGAATGCGGCGCAAATTGAAGAGGTGAACATCTATTGAACGTGAGATTTGTGACTTTTGCCATTGTGACTATCATGGACACAAATATCAACCGATTGGATGTTTTGTATTAAGTCAGGGCATAGAAACTATTGATTTTGGCAAGGAATGCATGCATCCAAGCGATACGTGTATGAGTATGAGTCATCGGTCAACGGTATAAAAACGATGAAGAAAAAAAATAATACTTCGTTTCGATTGTGGCATTAGAATCTCATCGATCGTCGATATTGTGAATCCATTAGATGATATCCATCACGATTAAGTTTTGTTCAAATTTCACATGCAGTTCGAATGGGCAAAATATATGAAAAAGATATTTTGATCTGTGAAAATCGCAAACACAAAATTGTTTTGTGAGAGGAGTGTGATTTGAACATACCTGTTTCCTTCGTTCGCATCTGTAGCCACGTTGGTCAGCAAATCGGATATACTCATTTTCGAAAAACTTTCACTTTCTGGCTGTGTTGATAAATCATCCCAAATCCGTTCCCCTGAAAATGTGCACAAATCAAATTAAAAATTACGAACAATGCCAACCAATCGCAAAATTGTTGATATCAATATTGAAATGGCATTTTAAGGAAATCGCTCTCTTCTAATTTGCTTTACACCATTTCTTGTTTTGTGTGTCTGTATGAAGTATTCCAGTTTTGAGCGTTAATTAAAACAACATGAACTGTATTTTGTTGTTGTTGTTGTTGTTTCTGCTGCTACTGTTAGTCTGAAATGAGTATACACTTTTACGAGTCATGTCAAAAAAAATCCTTCAAACAGCTTTAAATGCATGGTCAGTCATTGAATTCTGTAGCAGTTTTTTTTCCTCGCTTTGAAATCTCATTTCATTCAAAATCAAACTGGAAATTTGCTTCACTTCCGTCTGAATCGGATTTGTTTGTCAAAGCAAATTCAGGGAAACTTTTAACTAAAACTTGATGCAGGCAAGCCCGAAAAAACATCACTAGCTTTGTGCGAATTCCATTGTTTGTGGTCGTCGTCGTCGTCGTCGTCGTCGAAAAGTCTTGTGTGTGTCAAAGCCATGAATATTCATATCAATGCAACGCATGCAGCGCTGAAAGCACACACTATCAACTAGTTTGGTGCAACATCTTGAAAGAATTTCTTTGTTATTCTCCATTGTTATGGTATCATATTGATCGTCGCATTCGCTTGATGCTACTGCTGTTTTTTGTTCGTCATTTTCGTTGTCTGCCTTCATTTGCCAATCTATTTACGAATGCATTTATTGTGGTTGCCGATATTTTGACGAAATTATTGGCTTTGCATTCCAATCCTGCGGAGAGTCGACCGACCAAGAACCAATTGGCCAAAAGAAAATGTGCAATTAATCATAGTTGTCTGTGGCTACACTTTTGATTTGACTGAACTCCTTTTTTTTTCTTCTCTTCTCTCATTCTCAATAGCTGCACCAACTTAACAAAAAAAACTTAACCTAACTTTCGTTGGGCACAATTACAAATGAAATTTCTTTGTCGTTTACATGGCGAATGGTATTTTTGGTTTAAATATCAGTGATACAAATTGATTTGTAAATTTGTTCACATCATTTCGGATGGATATGTTTCGGTTTCTCTTTCTCTGTGTGTTGCATTTTTTGTCTGTCTGTTCTCTGTGTCGTATCAAAGGGCGTAACATTTATATATATTTTTCAATTAAATTGACCACTTACCAACGTCCATTATGAAATGATCGACTTGGATGCCTTTGTATTGTTAATTTCAAACGAATGAAACGATAAAGAATTTATGAAATAATCACTAAATTATTTTTTTGTTCTTACAAAAATAACATAAAAAAACTATATATGCGAGTTACATTTGCAATATGTTATAAAAATGGCAGATAAGACTTACCGTTCTGTCAAAAACACTATCCCACCAAAATGCCATCTAGAAATCGATATTAAAAATCACTCGTCGTTTACAGTGTAAACACTATTTTTATCCCAAGCAACATCGATACCGACGTTCGTTGTGTGCGGGGCCATTGGTCGTCATTTCAAATTTATTTCGACGATAAAAATGCATTTCAATTCGATTCTAAATGGAGTTGAGTATATTTTATGCAATGCACAATAATTATTCAATATGTCGTTGCCAATGTGCTTCATTTTGAATTGTCATTTCCTTACTGAGCGAATTGGATTTTATCCGAATACATTTTGGGATAAGATCTACGGCCAACTTTTTACAATTTCGCAATATAAACAATTTTTTTCCTTTTTTGGATATGATTAAAATGTTATGGAATTAAAAAAAAAATTCAACTCGATCCTGTTCGATCCGTATTGAACATTCAAATTTAACGCTTTGGTTAATTTCAAAACTCACTACAAGATCGAAGTGTTGTCAACTTCGAAATGTGAATGGTGTGACAGAAAGTCAAGCTTAAGCCTCTAGATATGTATAAATTTGATGAGTGAATTGATGTATACAAAATTTGAATCGAATGGAGCGCAAATTCTAAATGATAACCGAAACAATGAATGATTGGAAATTATGAAACAGGTTTAATACACTTCAGTATTTATTTTCGTTTGTTTCGAAATGAAATACTTTTCGGGCATCAAGTATTGGAATAAGTCAGCCGGACGTTGCACAATAGAATTTATTTTCGAAATACACATGATCAAGGGATTGATACTTACGCCAACGTTTTAAAGCCTTGAATTTAGAAAGTATAAAGAAAACCACGGATGCATCATGTAAGAGTTTAATTTATTGAAATAAATTAGAGAAGAAACAAAATCGAATGGAATGAAATTTTAAACCGACTGAACAAAATTACCATCTGCAATGCTACAAATCAATTGATGAATTTTCATAATAATTTTAAAGCTAAAATTATAGTTACTCTCCTTACTTTTACCAAATATCCTTCTTATATTCGCTGCAAAAAAAAATCCCAAAGGCAGAAAAATGAAGGAGAAAATGACATGAAAATGTACGGCTTCTAAAATTATTTTCGTTCACTTTATTTTCATTTGCAAAATAACATTACTTTCAACCAAAAGTAGAAATTCTAATTTTTTTTTTTTTTTTTCGGAATTCTTGGAGAGGGAAAAGTGAATGAACTGTATACCTACCAAAATGTGAAATGAAACGTGTGTTGAGATAACGAAATTTTTGAGTTTGTTCTTGTTTTTTTTTCTGTTTCTGTGTTTCTGTTCGAGAGTAACAGTCGGACGCGAGACATTCTTCTCTTAGGTTGATTGTTTCCAGCTTATTGCATAGGAATCGATAATAAGAGATACTATGATTTATAATGTTAACGAAATGATAAAAATGTGTTGTAAAAACATCAGAATTTTTGCCTGGTGAAACAAAAATAATGCCAATTATTTTTGCAATTAAGATTTGATTTTTGTTTTGTTTGAAAGGGGGAGAACGTTTGCGTTACTTCAGCCAACACTTTTGAAGTCACACACTTGTACTCCGCGAACTAATTGCTAAAACTTATGATTAGTATCCTCTGTCGTCATAGTCATCATCATCATTATGTCCGTATTGGCCATTATTCTCCTGTGCAAACGAAAGATATGCAAAGTTTTATTTGTTCTGGCAGAAGGCGTGTTTAACACGAATCAAATTACGAGAAATGTGTACGAACCTGTGGCCGATATTTCTGTTCTTCACCATCTTCATACTTAACTTCAGCTCCGTATGAACTATAGATGCGCGAGTTATAGTCAGGATAATCTGAAATGGACACGTAAATTGTTACTGAGAAAAACTGAATCATAAGACGATAAAAAGGCGAATGAGCATTGGCATTGTGCGAGACTTATACTGCCAATAAGTTAAAGACTAATGAACTTAAGGCCCTGTGATCTCAAACGACATAATTCAATGTAAAAAAAAAACTGCGTCGTTTCAAATAATTTAGCAAATTGAACAAAGCAACAAACACAATTTCGACTGAGTTGCTTTGATAGAATTTGCAGTTAAGAGAATATTATCAGAAAGAAAACGAGGCGACGATCGTACCATCATCAACGGGTTCTTCTTTGATTTTGATTTCTCCATACTCAGGTTTCCGTTCTTTACGCTCTTTGTCACGCTTATCACGTGATTTGTCTCGTTTGTCTCGCTTTCTTTCTCTGGATCTTGATCGTTTGTTCCGTTTCCGTTCCTTTTCTCTGTCACGATCTCGTCGTGAGTCTCTTCTGTCATAGTCCATTTCCCTGTAAGTGCAAAAATCCAATCGGTTTAATTAAAAGCCCATTTTCATTGGGAAAAAATCAAGTTTTCTTACTCTGATCGTCGTCGTTTGCGTTCTTTGCGTTCGCGACTCCTACTGCGTGGCCGTTCACGAATTTTCGGGCTTCGTGATCTTTGGCGTTCGCGACGATCTCTGTCTCGATTATAATCGCGTCTATTATAATCTTCTCGTTCTCTTTCCATGCGGTATCTTTCACGTTCTCTGTCATTGTCTTCTCGTCCAGAGTGTTTGATATTCACATCAGGACCGCCGCGTCTTGTACCTCCTAAACCTCCACCTGAATGAAATGAAATGAAATAGAGATTCGTGTCAATCACCAAATTTGTGTCGAAATGAAAATGTGCCATCATGCATTAAAAAATCAAATGGAATTCAACGTACCTAAACGACGAGGAAGCCATCCTTTCACCGTTCTAGCGCGTTCAACGTCGACCAATACTCTCTTACCATCAATTTTCTTACCATCAGCATGTTTGTACGCAGCTAAAATGTTGTTTGCGAAAAAGAAATGGTATTGACCTTAAAAATTATGTTACTCTCTATGTGATTAGCTCATGCTAATTCCGTTTTATTGTAATAATTTGATATTGTTTGTTCGTTTGACTGTTTGTTTGGTTTTGGTTTGTTTTTTCTTTCATTTGCGTAAATTGACTTTGATCATTGAGCAGACACTTTTCAGACTTTCCATTCTTGTAGTGGGTTAATACACACTCGAAACAAAAAAAAAAATAATAAGAAGAAGAAATCGTTGAAAAACACTTGATTTGAAACCTAATCCAGAGAGCTTTCCTTTAATCTGTACCTTTTTGTTCGCAAAAAAATCAGTTCGGTTTTGATTTCGTTTTTACTTTTGAACTCTATTTGTTTGGATCACATTTTGTTTTTAAAATCGACATTACCATTGAGTGTACTGGAAATTAAAAACTTTCAAATGATAATGTAAATTCAAATATGAAAACATTTTGTGCGAATGTGATTATACCTACCGGCCCCTGATTGTTCGTTTATTTTGTTTGTTTTTTTTTTTCATTCGATCAATCAATAAATAAATTTTGGTTTTCAATCGCATTGTGAATCAGTTTTATCTTACTCTTTGGTTGTGTTTTACTTACGGAATAGGCGTACTCGTTTATTAAATTATGCCATTGTTCACATTTCGTGGTAAATGGGTGTGATTTTTTTTTCTCGTGAAAGAAAAAAAATGTATTTATTCGAAAAAGAAAAGAAAATGCACGGAGTTTTCTAATGGTCGGTATTTGGCTTTGGTTGAGCAGAAGAATATTTTCGATTTGTTTTTTTTTCTTTGGATTTTTCATTTCAAAATTGTGTGCGCGCGAAATTTAATCGATTTGTGGTCGCATTTTATTGATACATATTGAGAGAAACAATTCCATTTTTTTATTTATGTGACTGGATAGACAGAACCATTACCTGGAGCGCTCAATACTTACGTATATGCGCTACATTTTGCAATCATTTAGTAATTATAATTATTTATTTGGGTAGTATTTAAAATAATAAAAAAGAATCTATGAAAAGAAATGAATTAAAACCTTTTTTTGTTTAGTTTATTCTTGTTGTGTGAACCAGAATTGTGCACCAGATATTCAGGTGACCGTGTTACCGTTTCGGATCATTGGTATCACAATTGGGAGTGGGAATAATGATGGAAGTAAAATAAAATTGAATCAAAAATAAGAAGAGCCCCAGAAGGTGTTTTATGGGCATGATGTCATCATGATGATGACTTGTTCATCGACACATAACGCGTTCCGTGTGTACCACTGACAAAGAGAAGATTGTTTTTTTTGTATGGATAAGAATAAGACGAGCTAAATTATGAACATTGACATTGAAACGCGGAAGGGTTGGTTTGAATTGGTGGTTGTTGAAATGTCTCGGCACTTGGTCAACCTGAGCAACTGGTGCAACAATTTAGTTTTTTTTTGTTGTGTCTAAAAAAACAATTTACCAAAGTTACCAATTGATTCCGGGCACCAATCGCATTCGATTTGCATTGTCGATGGTCGATCGTTCAAAATCAAAGTTTTAAATCGACAAAACACAAAACGGTGTTTATTTATTTGGAAAATGTATCTAATGAAAAATACGACGAATTCCATGACTTTTTGTTGTCTTGTTATTGTTGTCTCAATCTTACCAAACCCATACAAACCTATTCTATAAGTATTTTGGCACAATTATTATTCTTTTCCAATGATTCGGAATGGTTTACATTTATTTTATGTGTGTGTGTGTGTTTGGGTGTTTTATCTGGTTTTTTTGTTTTTTTTTGCATTTGCGAAAGAACACGGTTTCGAGTAAAGTGTCTCTTTACGAATCTGCGCTTTTGTCAAAAACAAATAAACGGGCCACTTGTTCACTGTTTCAATTCATTCAAGAGTATATACTTCTTAGAAGGAATGACTCGACGTGTATTATATCTCTCTCTTTCTGTCTGTCTGTTTGTTCATTTTTGCTTTTCTTCTCTTGAGCGAATGTTAAGCATGGACAAGTTAGTTTCGTTTGTTCATTACACCTCTCAGAAGGAGTTTTAATGCAAAATAGATTTTTTCATTGAAACTGTTTTGTTTTTGCAGCAATGATGTGTTTCTTTTGCGTGTATCACTTCTCTTTTTTTTTGGCTTTGATTTTAAATCGGCAATTATTATTTAACGCGAATTTGTCGATTAAATTGAAGGGGAAAATGTCAATTACTTCGATTACTTACAATGCATATCACGTTCATGTTCGTACTCGATAAAAGCATAGCCACGAGGCTTTCCTGTGTCAATATTGTGAACAAGAACAATTTTTTTTATTGGCCCATACACTTCAAACTCACGACGCAATTTCGACTCCGAGGTGTCGTAGTTCTGGAATGGAATATAAAATGTGTGATTTTTAATATGAATTCGAATCGATGCAACGATGGCTAAAAAGATCAATGTCAACACATACGATACGAGCGACGAACAATGTTTTGAAGGGATCTTCAGTGGCTTCTTGTAGTTGTGTTGGATCCCAAATTGCGATTTCACGCTCTAATTTGTAGGCAACTTGTTCAGCCTTTTCTTTCCGACGGCGCTCTAAACGTTCGTCACGTGTCTCAACACGGGTTGGCGGTGGAGTTTCACCGGGATCCTAAAATTAAACAAAACAACAATTGGATCTGGCAATTGGCGAATATGAATTACATTGAAATACCAACCTCAAAATGCGACAAAAAGTTCCCCACACCTAAATAGCCCCTTGTTTTCTTTTCATGTGGTAATTTATCGGGCGGTGGAATGAATGGTAATGGATCGCGTGGAGCGAATAATGCCAGCAAATTTGGTGGCAAATACTGTGTCATTTTGTGAAAATTTTCACTACTAAACGATTGGTCTCTCCGTCGAATGAATTGTCTTTCGTTCACAGCATTCAAGCCTTATGTCGTCGAACTGATGAAATTACGCCATTAAACAGAATGGATGCGTTCAATTGACTTGCCCGAATTCGTGCAGTTCCATTTGGGCTTACGATGTTCTTCCTTTTTTTTGCTTTAAATCATTTGTACGGCTAACAAATTGAAGAAGATTTTTTTGATTTCGAAAAGAATTTGCAATTCTTCTGCAAATCAACAGCACACACAAGAATGGAACGAAATATTTTAGAGGTTTGTCTCTACAAATAGAAATCGGTTCTAAAGAATACGTATTTTTCTAGTGTTAAATGACTGTTTGCGAATATTGTCAACAGATGGCGTTGCCCAAAAGCACTTTCGATCTTTTTTTTTATTCAATACTTACCGCAAGTCATTTGAATTCCATCAATGAAACTGAAAACTATTTTGAATATTGTTTGTTGACAATCCAAAAAAAAAACACTAAAGATATCTACTTGAAATTTTTTTGCATTTATTTCGTTAATTTAACAGTTGGATAAATCATCAATTATTACAAATGCATCAATTTCTAAGCTCTAATTGAAACTTGGTTACATTTATTATATTTTCTAGCATCTACAATGACATATATATATGTATATTACTGAGTAAAGTTTGTGTGTGTTTTTTTTAAATTTTATTTATTAAATAGTTTCTTTTAGTTTTAGTTCGTTTATTTTAAATACTTCAATAGGATTGAATGGTCGTTTGTGGAAGAATTTTCATGCGAATTTTCCTTTTGTTCAACGGTTAATTCGGCTTTTGTAACATTGTCGTTTAAAATATTTTCTGCGCTTTTTGACAGCGATTTACTGTCGAAAAATTCCGAACCAGCACCTGGTTCCGATTTACCGAATGGATACACTTTACGTGTATCGTAGCCGGTATTACTTTCTGAGCCACGTCTCTGAAGGTTTGAAAATTCATTGTGCTTCAGAAAACATTCATCCACCTCAACGATGCTTCCTCGTTTTCCAGCAGCACCAAAATTCGGCAGCGTTAGCGTTTGATGTTCGTCTTTTGGTTCAGTTAGTTTGACACAGGGCACTTCCTTCACCGTTATATCACTGTCCGTATTTTCATCATCGCTGCTATTTAGGTTCTCCGATTTACTATCACAATTTCTATGTTGCTCCGTTACGGTGTTGCCCTTCAAACTCTTCTGGAATTCGTCCAATATGGTGTTATTATTTTTGTAAATATCATCTAAAACGTGATTTGTCGCACTTACGACTTTCTTCTCTTCGGAAGACGGCACAATTTCTGATTCTGGCGATGGAATCATTTGCTCTTGGACGATTTCTTGGGTGCTTGTTACATTAGCCACTTGTTTACTTTGAACACACACTTCGGAATTATTTCGTTCGATCGAGATGAAACTTTCGGTATCACGTTTGACTTGTTCATCAACAAATGTTGGTCGATTTTCAATGTTCTTTGCATTGTTCACCGTTTCTTTGCTTTTGTTCTCCACGTCAGTTGCCATACTTTCATTTCCATTTATGTCCGGATTCACTAATTTTTGTTCCATTTGCACGTTTTTCGGAGCCGTTTCGACGGACGTAGCTTCAACTTCACTCTCGAAGATTGGACGTGTTACGGTTGACTCTTTGCGATGTGCGGAAATTTTTCGGGTTGTTAATTTTGAATTTGGAATACATTTCGATGAACCGTCATCGAATGTTTCATGCATTTCAAATGGATCGGAGAATCCATAGACACGATCAGCGATTTGGCTCAAGAGCTCTTGTGTAAAGAATGATTGTTGACTCGTGTATTTCTTCAAAAGTGACTCCAATCGAACGTCCCCATTGAACTTGTTGAAATCAAACTGATTGATGTTGTTGTTGTTGTTGTTGTTGCTTCTGCTGCTGGTATTGTTTTGCATGGATTTGATGCGCATCAAATCGATTGTATCGTTGCTTTTTGGTGGTGCCAAAATTTTCTGTGACATCAAATTTTCTTGGGATAAATGTCGCACCCTTGGTACTGGTTTCGACACAGCGTTCACAGTTTCGACGGGTTTCACCGGAGTAATGATTGGAGTTGTGGGTACGGTTGCAGTCGGAGTCACCCGAACTGACTTTTCATACACGCTCAAATCACGTTTCGGTTTCTCTGGTGAATGGTTCACTTGCTGTATCATGTACTTTTCGATTTCTTCAGCGCTCAGTTCGGTCGTTTCAATTGGTTTGTTTTCTTTGGGCGTTGCATGCGTGTGATCGATGTGCTTTTGTATATGATGATCGTCGTCGTCGCAAATGTGTTTAGTTGGACTTTTGCGCGGTACAATCAATGGCTCTTCAACTGGCGTCATTCCCTTGTAATACTCAGCATCGTCATTATTAGCGACCGTCCGCTCCTTGACTTCACTTTTATCCTCTGCAATTGACTTTTTCGCAACAACACATTCTTGATTGTTGACTGCGTCGGCGAATGCCGGTGTTGAGCTATTTCTTTTTTTCAAATGTGATCTTCGTGGCGGTGATTTGGGCTCCTCAATCGAACTATATGATGAGGTACCTTCCAACATTGCCATCAAGAATTCAGCCTTCTTATCAAGACTGCTCTTCTTATCGTCGTCTGCAATTTGCTTCGATTCGTATTGTTCGCCTATTATAAATGGTCTTGGTGTTGGAATTTCGATAGCCTCAGATTTTGTTGGTGCGGATGCATTTGCTGCAATGAAATCGTCTAGTTTATCCTTACCATCAACGGATGCATGTGGAATTGGTGTGATCAATGTGCTAATTGTGTGATATGTAAATGAAATGCTGGTTGGTTCTGGTTCGGGCGTAATTGGATCATCGGACAGACAATCGGATAAATTTTCACCAAAAAATTTATCGGATTTTTTGTTGCCAACACGGGACACTTTGCGTTGCAGTGTTAGACGGGTAATTGGAGGGCTTGTTTGTTGGACCATCGATCTTTCCATCAAAGAAAGAGTACGTGTAACTGGTATTCGAATCGTTGATATTGACAAACCATCGGCTGGTTTGATTTCATTTAAATTAAAGTCCGATATGGACTTACTCTTGCGCTTATGCTGAAGCAATTCTTGTTCGCGTTCGGTCAATGGATTGTCATCTCTTAAAATGCTGTCGCATGACGAGCGTCGCGATACATTATTACCAAACAGCTCTTTAAAACCGCACGGTTGACGATCAACGATCACCGATGAGCGTTTACGACGCGGCGGTGCCACCGGTGTTTCGCCCAAATTAGACTCATCGTTAATTTTGTCATTTGGAACAGTCAGCGTGACTTTGCGCCAACCATCGTTCATTGTTGATTGTGGTTGCGTTCTTGTCGGCGGTCCGGTTTCCAAGCTATATGATTATATTTGAACAGATAAAAAAAAACCCAAGTCATTAGACACATAGCACAATTGAGCATGTGATATTAAACAAAACAAAATAACAACAAAAAAGTTAAAACTTACACGTGCTTCTGCCAATAATTCGATTTTGCTTCGTTCGCCGGACAAATCTAAACAAAGAAAAATCGCAAATTAACGATAATTGAACCCGTGTAATCGATTTATTTATTTTTAAATCACAACAACAGACACACATACCTGTGCACACCTTCCGATGATTCGATCGATTGGACTTTTTGAGTTGTCCGCTCGTGCGATTCGCTCTCTACACAAATTATTTCCCATGACTCTCTGTAAATAGAATTGAAAAAAATAGAAGAACATCGTTATTGACCAAGTGAGCCAAATTTTCCCTTTGGATTTGGAGAGAAAAAAAAATTGCAATGAAATATGCCGATTTGAAAGTGACTCTATGAAAGATTTATGTTCTGCCTTAGAATCCGAAATACTCAGTTTTGTTGCTGTTGTTCTAGAACGATTGGTTGATGAGATTACGAATGAAAAATGTTTCATTCAATACAGTACACATTTCACGGTTTATGAAGAACGAACAATGGATCACGCTAAATAGAATTCATTTTATTATTTCGTCTTTTTTTTTGTTTTCATATTTCAATTTAGCGTTTAACTAGCAAATTAAGTTTCTGAATGAAGTATATTATGTTTTTTTTTGTCTGTTTGTACGTTGATATTCTGCTGCGCGTCGACTTTGTGATCTATTGTTGCTTGTAATTAAGTTCTAATCAGCTTCCATGGCATTTAAAGAATTTAATAGACATACACGCACATCACTCATCTCTCGTTCGAACAAGAACAACACACAAAAAAATACACTCAAATTTATATATTTCGACAACGTGACCTTGAACAGAGCAATATAACAAAAAAAATAATCTGCCTATGCCTGAGTGTAGCTACCATTTCATTTGATTGTGAGAAATTTTTACGTGTAATCTCTTTTGTTGTTGTCGTTGAATACGAAAACTATGAAAAGTTTCGCGTGAAATTGAATTCATTCAATCTATTTATTAGATTGATCATTGATGCATTAATTTGCCGCCGTTCATATAACATTAATGAAAAGAAAGAGAGAAAGAGAAAAAAATCGATAACAATAAAATGTCCGTGTTGTATACAAAACAATGATTTAAACGCACACATTTTTGTAACCAGAAATCGTTTGATACTTTGATTCGATTTTCTTGTTTCGTATCGCGTTTTTATTCTATCAGAATATTGCTTCGCCGAATGACTTGAGAATTGAGGCTGTTTGATTATGTGTGTATGTGTGCGTATCTCTCTCTCTCTCTCCTTTTATATTCAATTTTGTGATCACATCCAAAAAAAAAGAACAATAGAATATCAGACAGCGAAACTAACAACTGGCACAGTCATATCAAGTCACAAGAGTCGCATCTTCAGTTGATGATTCGATCAGAATGGAAACTAAACGAGGTGTATGGTGATGTCACCTTAGTGCTTACGATGAGATGTAACTAATAAACACACTCGTTTTGCTGTTCTACCAAAATCAGCGAAGGCGTCGACGAAAACAACAATGCGGAGAATAAACACTATCCAAATCAAATTCCATAGTTGGATGAATTTTGAAATGTTTACGAGTTTATTATCGCAACGGGCGCCAAAAGTGAAACTCGAATCAAAACGCATGTTCATTCTTGAGAAACCACTTCTAAATGCACCAAAAACCATTTCATTCGAACATAAGTGGAACGACAGATTGTTTCAATGGGCCCATTTACTTTCATGTCTATCTATCTGTTCCGTTTAATCTAATTGATAAACGGTGCATTTTATCGCTAAAGCGTGTTCCAAACGAAAAATCTAAGGTGTGTACTTTAGGGTGTTCAGGTTTGGGGAGTCAAATAAGAATATATGATTTCTACGTAGATTTCGGCCCAAAAAATCGGAATCAAACAATAAATCGTCCTTCATTGCTAATAAATTTGGAATTTCACCGAAATATAACCGTTTTTATGTGTTAGTACTAATTGACTCTTTGTAGCTCAAATTGTCTAATGTTCTAAAAATTGGCAATATGAACCGATCCTTATGACATTTGACATTCACTTCAGCAGTTTTCGAAATGTCACAGACGCCGCATCATTCATTCCGAGAAAACATACAGCGTTGTGAACACCAAGTCAACAAATTGAAACTCTTACATTTTATCTTACAATTTAAACTGGAAATTTACGCTGCAATTTAATTTATCTACGATTTTGCTGGTATTTCATTTCGTATTATTTTCGATTTACGTGCGTTTTGTATCGATTTGATCCGGAGTTCACATTGAATTCAATTCGCCAAAGTGTGAGTAAACTTGATCATTTCAATATCTTCTTCTTTTTGTGGAATTCATTTTAAAAACGTAATATAAGCATTTATGACGTGAAATATATTGAACATATCAACAGTAATATTAGATTCCATGAAAAAAGTAATGAATTTCACAATAATTCTGCAGTACATAGTTCTGTTACGTGTGATGGTGAAATACGTGTGATGGTGAAATTCATTTTATGCAATGAATTGAGTCCATTGTTCGGAGAAGAGAAACAGTTAATCGATTACTGTTCGAACTCAAATTGAATCAATGCCATTGTTATCAAACCGAAGTCATTTTTGTGTGTCTCATTCTGTTGTCATTTTCAAACTAAATCGAATTTAAGTTTCAATATTATTCGTTTTCAAACTAAATCGAATGTGTGTTTTTTTTCTTTCAGTAGGACAATGGCGAATCGTTTCAAGCCATCAATACCAGCGGAGGGAGAGACGAAAGATGAAATTACGACGATCAAATGTGCGCTAAAGACAATCATTCGCCCACAATACCAGCAAGCATTGATGAGCAAAATAACGGATCTGAGTTTGCAAGCCACTTCCATTTGTGTTTTGGGCTCATTGCTGTTCTTGTTTGAGGTGCAAAAGGCGTTCGAATATAGGCGTCGAGAACAATAATTTCGCATTGTTTGGTGGAAGTGGAGAAGATAAGATCAAACTCTGCTTTGAACAAGTGCTATGGCACAACAATCAGCCACCAAAACCGAAGTCAAGGTATAAACCAAGCGGAACAAATCCACGGGGACCACGAGCAGAGCTGCCACGTATCGATCCTGAATTCAAGGCAATTGTCGAAGGTCTTGACGACTATCATCGTATCGATTGGCCCAACAACAAAGATTTCAGCAATGGGCTTAAGCATTTGACCAATCAGTACACAGATAACGTCGTCACCAATCTTGAAACGCATGCTAACAAACACATCACCCAGTACTTGAAACTGAAAGTGTTCGAATTGAACTCAAACTTGGAAGAGGATGGAGAGAAATTTTTGCCAAGTGACATCGAAAATGTTGTCAAGTTGATCATCAAGCAAAAAGATATCAAAGTGCCAAGTCGCGATCCAAACAAACTCGTACGGTGTGAGGTGTTGTATGATATCGTGAGAGATTGCAATGTGTTCCCAGAAATCGATCTGCATGACCTTACAACTGACCCAAAACATTGGTATAAGGCCATGCCAATGTACCTATCCATGCAGCGCGAGATAGAAGAGTACAATTCGGAGTGGCCACATCAGCGCCGACCCAAACGCAAGAAAAGAAAGCGAAAAAAGACAAAAGGAAAATGGAAACGCAAGCGCAGCCAAATGCTCGACAACCCAGATTTTCGGCCATTGATTCGAAATTTAGTAGTGGTGCCGATGTGTGATTTCCGGCGTACGCACTTCAAAATCGATTGTTCATCCATGCACCAGGTGTTGTCTTCGCAAAAATTGCTACCGAAAGTGGAAATCGAGAATAAAAAAGGAACAACAAGCACGAAAACGATTCAACAAAAGGATTTCAATCATTCGAGAGATTATTGGTGGAATCAGTATTTTTACATGCGAAAAATTCGACGATTCGTGCGTGCCAAAAAGCAGTTTGACTATTCCATAAACACCGATGGAATCTCTGTGTCTCTCCAGTACTCGGCCAAAAAGAAGACAGCCAACAAAGAAATCGACCAAAAATCTCGCATCATTCAGAAGATTGAGGATGGCACAATCAAAAATTTTTCGGGCGTTGATACAGGTGTGCGAAGTTGGAATACCACAACAACACACGACATTGAAACTGGCAAAGAAGTAAGTTTTGTATACATTTGAATAAGTTGTGTGTATTTTAATAGAAAATACTTAAGTGCCAAAACTCAATAACTATACCTTTTTTTCTATTTATTTTTTCAGACCAACTTTGTAATGTCGAGCAAGCAATTCCACTGGCAAACAGGTCAAAAGGTGCGAAATGCCAAAGCAGCGCGATGGACCAAAAATTTCGTCGAAATGGAGCGCGCAGACAGAGAAAACCGTGATCTGTATCCAGTGATGCCGTCGCCAAAAGGGTCAATGTGGCTGAACTACATCAAACACCGAGTCAAGATGATGAAGCATGGAATCTGCGCTTACTCGACTGCCAAATACACTCGACTCGCCTTGGACAAACACATCAAGAGCAGTAGTGTTGTCGACGAATGGGTGAATAAGGTGACCGATAAGAAACCGACTCTGTTCTTTTTTGGTGCTGATGGCGAAATACCACCTGATAGCCCAATAAGTATCAAGAAGCACGTGCGCTGCCCAGGGGTTCGTTTGACTTTGAGGTCAATAAAGAAGCGCCGAGATTGTTTCATACAATTGGTGGACGAATGGGGAACATCTCAAACAGACGCAAGATGTATGAATCGATTCCAAAACCAGAACAAAGCGGCCAGATTCAAGAAATGCCGATGCGTACCCGACGCCAGAACATTGCTGCCAACGAAAATTGTGTCAAAGTTGGGCAAAACGGATCTATCGATCTACCGACAGTTGCAACGCGCCATGAACGAAGAAGCATTGGTAGGAGACGAGCGTTTATTCCCAAAAGTAAAATGTTACTACAAAAACTGGCGATTAAACCTCGAATGCTCTGTGATTTGGCATCGTGACGTCGTGGCTGCTAAGAACATTCTACTGAAAGGTAAGGCTAATTGACGCACAATTTTGATTGAATGATTTTTTAAGAAGGTTCATTTGTTTAATTGTTCAGGACTATGGACATTACTGGGACTTCCGATACCAGAGGCGATCAATAGGTATTGGCGCGAAGCTGCTGAAGCAGCCGCTGCTGTTGCCGCTGCTGCTGCCGCTGCTGCTGCCGCTAGAGCAACCGCTGAAGCAGCCGCTGCAGCTGTCGCCATCGTGGATAATGATGTAGAAATGTTCGAGTACGACCAGCAGCCAGCTGATCATGCTGTCTAATCAGCACATTGCAAACAAAAAAAAAACAAATGTAACATTAGTTATTAAAGGCTATCCCGATCATGTGGGATAGTTGCGTTGAAGCAAGTTGACTCCCCATCTGGTTGATGTTAACTGCGCAGGAGTACTCTAGTGGGTCGTTTAGGTAAGCATTATTCGATTTTGCAAAGAGTTTTTTTTTCTTCTGGAAGTGTTGTATAACGCTCTATTAATGCTACCAGTTGACATAAAATTGGCTTCTCTTTAAATTTATGCTTTTCATTCTTCTTTTTCAGATTAGCTGAACACCCTAGTGTACTTGTACATAGCCAAATGAAATTGCTGAAGCAAAAGATATGAATTCATTTTGATCTGCCGAAAGACATACAATTACAGCGATCAGATAATAGAAAATGTGAATCATTGCGAGAACCTCTCCTCTCAATACAAAGATTGTATGTATGATTATTGTTGATGTTTTTCTTTCTTCTTCTGCATGATGATTATACATTGGACTGTTTCTAACGCAATAATGCTCAAAGAGCTTACGCAAAGCCAGTTTCCGGAATCGGCTGACTTAATGATGCGAACTTTTTATTTTGTCTTCCTATCTCTGTCAATCATTAGTTTTTTTTCCAGCCTTTAATGTAAATTGGTCATAAATTTTGCTACGGCAGACATACTGACGAAAACACGTTTTTTCAACTGTTTTTGGTTACTCCTTTCACATTGACTTTGAATTTGAAACTTTTTTATTTCATCTCATTTAAAATAGTGATAAATGTTCATTAAACATGAAAACAAAAGCGAATCTGTAAAAGTGGTTCCTGTTTTAGTCGAAGTTGAACTCGATTATAGGAGAGCATCGTTAAGATGTGTTGACAAATGTTGTTCTTTTTTTTAGGGGGAGGCACTAAAATATTCCGTAATAAAAAAAGAAGAAACAAACAGGCAGTGCAGTATCGGTCTATCGGTCATTCAACTGTCAGTCTAACTTTCGAGAATCGTGGCTTTTTACAATGTCATGTTACGTTACCTCGACAAATTCTCGATTCTTTGTCGTATGGCTTGTCTTTTCCGCCGTGTATGCGATATAGCTCTTCCGAGAAAGAGATACAGACAGCGTGGCAGAAAGAGAAGCTTTTTTCCTATAGCGAACGCGCTAATAAACGAAAGAAAACGAATTTTTAAATATCCATTCGTGAGCTTGTGATAAGTGAGCAATTGTAGCTGTACACACACACATACAGACACACACATCATTCAACCTGTCATACAACCATCGACCCAAATATCTTGTTTGTACTCTTTTTTTATTAAGTAATTAAGACTGTATGAAAAACAATGTGCTCGTACAATTCGATAGATAAGCACTATTTACAGTCTTTAGATACACTTCGAAATATTGAAGAGAATCGGTCTCATTTGCCTCTCTGGGAGCGTAAATCCAATTGAAAATATTTATTATAAAGTCTCTTGAGGTTTAATCTAGTATGAAATTGAATGAAAGAGAAATACAATAAAATAACAAAGTGTTCGATTTCATGAAAAATTCGATTTTATTTCTTCGTTTTTTTAGTCCAAAGTTCGTTCGATGCGATTCAAGCTGTAGGCGGTATTTTAGTATCGATCATTGATTTTCGGACAAAATCCTGGGAACCCATTGACTATATCAGCATCGGCTATTTTCAACTTTAAAATTCCATTTTTGGTAAACCATTCGAATTCATGTGGCCAAACGTGTTCTTCAATCTGTCGCACCATTTTTGCATCAAAACAAATGTCAATCGCAGATGCGCACGTCATTCCGGATCGTAGTTTAAACAAATGCACGAAATCAATCGAAAACTGCTCAAATGAATCGTCGGTCGACCAATCAGCACACGGAGTTTCATACAAATAGATTAATTTCAAATTGGGACAGTTTTCTACGAATGCCATTACGTCACAAAAATAAATGTCAACACATTGCACCAAATACAATTCCTCCAAATTGGATAGTCGTTGTGACAAAAGTGCGGAAAATTCATCGAACACCCGCAACGATGAGATTAATTTCAATACTTTTAAATTGGTGAATTTCATAAACGCCTGGCATACACTCTCATCCAAGCACAGATCGGAAATGCCAATGCAATCGAGGCGATTGCTTATAGCCAATTCATTAATGAACGCCGTAACCGGTATCTCGTCCGTGTTGAATTCCAGCCGTTTCAAACTGGATAGCGCATGTAAACACCGTAAATCGGAAACGAATGCCGTTGAAAATGTTTCAAGTTCAATGCACAGTTCCTCGAGATCCTTGGCCGATTGAATAATTGTCGGTAGCAATTGCGTCGGAGTGGGAGCATACCGATTGATATAATGAAAACACTTTAAATTGCGTGGATTTTCGAAAAATACCACCAGTACTTCGGGCACCAGATCCGTTTGATTTTCATTGTGTATGATTAAACATTCCAAACTGCGATGTTCATTTTGCAGCAGATAATTGCGATCAAATGTCAAAAAGAATGCGCAATTCCGTTGGATAATTGTTCGGATGGTTGGACAGTGGCTCATAAATTGATCGGCATCACCGTAGCATTTGTTCAGTTCAATGGTGTTCAAATTGCTAAGCACTCGCGACAAATTCGACGATGCAAGCCCCGAAATGAAGACACTCTCCAATCGCAATGTATTCAATTTATCAGTGCAATGCTTTGCAATCAGATGACTGATATACGTATCACGATCACCACCACCGTCCTCATTAAAATCGTCTAAATCACTGTAAAGTCGCGGCGACTCAATCAACAATCGTCGTACAAATTGACCACAATGATTCAATACTTCTTTTAATTTAACACCGTTCAAATGTTTCAATCGCACCTCAGCCTCTTTGAGTAAATAAACTGATTGGAAATAATATTCGACAAGATTCCACAACCTTTGATTTGTTTGTTTGATTGCGCACAAATCTTTGGTTGACAAATATTTGAACAATTCGAGGAAACAGTCGTCATTTAAAGCCAACAATTCCACGACTCTCATGCACTTCATTTTAAGGGGTTTTTTTTCCATGCAAAACAAAACCGACTTTTTGCTAAAAAAATGTTTCTTTTGTGAGTTATTTCGTTCTACTGAAAAGTCTTTCGGCCGAACTACTTATCTACGTTTCAGATTTACGTAAAATTTAAAAATAGACTGTACGTTGGTTTTGCCGCAAATATGATCGAATGGCGCTGAGAGAGAAAAATACTAGGCACGCATTTGAATATGCTCTGCGGGCACACCAAATGTCAGTTCAACACATGAAATCTAGCCTCTAGCGGAAAATCGACGTCAACACGCCAAATATTAAACGTGTATTTTCAAAACAGCAAAAAAGTAACATACGTTTTGCACATTATTAGAAGTTCACACGGCTAATTTTTGGAGGCTTTCAAACTTTGGTCGTCTTTATTTGTTTATTTCGAATGGCATTGCGCATGTTTAATTCATTTGTACTACTACGTATTCAATTTTTGCTCGAGCTCGGGAGCATTGTTTTGATGTTCAAAATCAAAAGACGTGGCACATACATGTGGTCCTCATTAGCGTCACCTCTCTTAATTAGTGAGAAAAACATTCGCCGAAAATATATTCGATTAATTTCGACTTTTAGCAAGCATTTATCAGTATTTTTGTATCGCGCTTTTTTCTCTCTCGATCTCTGGTAAATCGATACGATTATTAAAAGTGATAATCGAAATCAAAGAAATTGGTCAGTCAACAACTGTATAACTGGTGGTCCGGTGTATAAGTGTGTATCATTACGACATCTAAATGAGCCCAATTAATGTGATTGTTTGACCTCAAAAAAAAGAATATTGTAATGAACGCAAGTGAGGCGTCGTATGGATTGATATTATGGGCATGAGCATTCCAGTGGCGACAACTCACAACTGGCATATTCCATGAAGCACATAGCTACGCACCGTGCACAGTTCATATCAAAAATCGTATTCATCAAACTTGTTTGCTCAGCACACCATTCATGATTCATTTTCGGATATGTATTCAAATATGTTTGCACTAGAATCCTGTGCGAAGCCAAAACACTCGTTAGTATGCTAATAACACGTGTTGTTATTTGATGTTTGGGTTTTTTGATAGGCATTGAAGCAGTAACATCCAGGAAACTAATTATTCATATCTTCGTTTTTTCATTATCTGTCTCTGTTTTTTTTTGCTGTAACAATGCAGTGGCCGTAAAACGGCAACAAGCACAGTGTGATGACGTCGGTTTTGTATTCCATGGAACTAAAATCCAGTATGTTTCTAAAGCGAGCGATTGCCATTCAAATGATATTGAACGGCGTGAAATAGCACTGAACTTCTGACTTTATTAATTTACTTTTAATGGGTATCCCCTGCGATAGATTCTCCTTTTTTTCGTGCGAGTGAGTCAGTGTAAGGCTTCGCTAAATCGTCCTCGCCGTTGGTTTTGGCACGCAACAAACGGTCTCATTTTTCACTCTTCGTCCACAATTACTACTACTTTGTGGACTCGTTAGCTGCTCGGTCATACTAGACGTATATATCTACGTCTATATATTTTGTGTTTTCCATTCAAATGGCAATTCTATTTCTCTTTTTTTCTCTCCTTTTTATTTTTCTCTTGAACCGTTGCGGTTCTATTCCATGTATGGAAAATTTATTGATTATTTTTTTCTGCATCCGCTGGCTTTGTTTGTGGTTAACACAAGACCATTATTGTTGTAATTCACCAATTACAACTAAGACATGTGGTTTTCTAAATGGCCTGACCTAAACACGATCCAGTATTTTGTACTTTTCACGAATTCCTCAACTATACCAACTCGCATAACGTTGGTTTAGTTTTTTTTTCTCTCTTCCTTTCTCTTTTCTGTTCTTCTCCACGCTCTCTCGCTCGCTCTTTTCTCTTCTAATTGTGTATCAATAATTTATGTTTACCGTAGAAATTAAACTGTGTTTTTTTTGTGTTCGTATCGTAGAGAACCGTAAACAAATGAATTAATGGCAGAACGCAAATATAACCAATCCGTCTATAGAATGATGACAATTATTGTACGAAGTCACTTGGTAAATATTTTCTTTAAGCCTTATCATCGCCATGCCAAGTTCATCGAAGAGAGTACAAGAGCTTGTTGTGATGTTCTCATTCTTATTCTTGTTAGTTTTATTTTTTTCTCTCTTTAATCGTTCGTATTTCGTTTTGTACGGCTCTGCTGTGTATTGCATTTGTCGCATGAATTGTGGATGCCGGTAAATTATTGTTTGTAATTATCACACTGATACATTGGCTACAAATGTGCTACAAAATGAGTTCAAGATGAAGCTGCGTCTCTTTCTGCTGTTGCTCTCGAGTGGCCTGTGGCTAAGTGATGGCCTGTTTTTTTTTATTCTCTCTTTTCTTATTTTGAATTTATTTACACGTAAAATTATCGATAATCAAGTGATTTACACAGCAGCAGCTCATCCGATGGAAATTCAAACTAAAATAAAACCTAAGTCGTCGACGAAACGGTGGACAACTGTAGTTTCATGCATATAAAATCACGTTAGAGATTTGCCTATATCTAACGACTTGGACGATGACGACGACGAAAAAATGAAGTGTCATGGGCTTTTGAATAACAAGCTTCGACTTGACCACTTTATTGCTTCTATCAAAACAGTTAACTGCAGCGTTGCTCGCTAGAACCGGATGTTTTCTTGTCTACGCCACTCTTACGATTTTATTGATTCTTTATCTAAATTTTCTCTCTCTTATTTTTCATTTCATGTGCTTACAAAACACAAAATCAACACGTCATTTAATCAGATTTAGTGAGGCAATACTTTGGATCAGAACACATAATCAATAACATTTCAAAAGGCTCCGCCTTAAAGATGCACGTTAACCATTACTCGACTTAATTTATCGCGCCAAATTGACTAGAAGCAAACGGTCGGTCGATCGGTCGATGCGGAAAACCCAATGGCAAAGTCACGTCAAACTATCAAATCAATATAATTATAAATAATGAAAAGTCAGTTGAACGACGGATGAAACCATGTTTTTCGCTCTATCTCTCTGTCGAGGCCGAAGAGATTTTAAATCCCCGTGAATAATTGCACCAACGCATTGCATCGCCATTGAATTTATATCGTTTTTTCTTTCGTATTTTCTCCTATCTTTCGCTAACTTATAAATATTGATTTCAACAAGATGTGCTGTTTTAGGGCAAAACGGCTCGCATTACTGTTTCTTACGCTTCATTCAAGTGGAAAAACCTCGAAAAAAATGGATCAATAAACCAAAGCAAATGCTGATGATTTGTTTACGTCTTGCGTACAGGTTTTTCGATTTGTTTTCTTCTCTCTCTCTCTCTCTCTCTCTCTCTCTGTGTGTGTGTATGTGAGCGTGTGAGCTTGTTTGTATTTAGGAAATAGTATTGGAAACATTAAGTAATCGGAATAATTCCTGCGGCGCGTTACGTTTAAATTATTCCATTATACCGGTTATATTATTACATATATGCGTTACATGTTCGCATATAAATATCAACTCTCACCCGTTTAAATATTAATGCGTTGCATGCAAGTGGCTTATTTTCGGTTGTCTTTACATGCGCGCACAAACGTTGACAAATGAAATGAGCCAAGCCTTAGTACACACACACATAAAATACCGACAAATGAAACTAAATCACAGCATTTGGAGAATTCATTTAGCTCTCTTCAAAACCGTTTTATTTCGTGTTCTTTTCATCATTTTTCTTCGAAATTGAAGCAACGACAAGTTGCTCCATTTAATTTATTATAATTTATGCGCTTTACAACCATAAAATTCACAGATGCTCAGTTCAAGTGTAAGTGTACCAACACACACGGTTCTCTCTCGCGCGCCCGCGACAAAGGTTGAGGACACACGTTTCAAATGGCCCTTGAAAGCATGAAGCTTTTTTTTCCTCTTCTGCTTCTCTCTTTTTTTCGGGCGATTATAGTGTTTTTTTTTATCGTCGGTTCACTGTTTAAGTACGCTTTTCCTCTGTATAGGATTGTTGTTGTGTGTTTGTTTGTTCCTCTCTGTTTACCGCAATATAGAGGAACTGAGAGAGTGAGTTCAAAAACGTTGTTTTTTTCGCAGCACATTGTTAATAATGAACCGAACACAACATTGATCTCGCGCGATCTCGCGAGAGCTCTTTTATTCGATCATGCACACTGCGCCATACAAAGTGTGGAATATATCTGATAATTGTAATTTTTGAAGTACAAATGGTAATTGGAGTGGCGCGTTCTTATCTCTCTGACTACCTTTATACGTATGTACTTCGTTTTTGTCCGCATATATATTCATTCTTTGTTCAAATAACGTTTGTGACGTAAATGATCATTCGTTTAGTTGACAAATATTATTACATGTAAAACCAAAGCGTGAGCAACAAAAAAGCAGAGACAAAAATTTGTCTAAATTATATGAAATGAATATGACGAATTGAATATTTAACGTGCCATTTCAGTGCAATTCATGATATATGGCCACATTCAATATTTAAGCGTTACCGTTGAAATTGAACGGCACACGATCGCATTGCTGCCATTTTATTTTATTGCCGGATAATTGACACGATATAACATATTGCTGTGCTCTGTACTGAAGCTTTTTTCCGATTTAATTTAGTAATCGAATCGATTTAAGTGTGGTTTATTATCTCTTACCAAACATCTTTGTCCCTTCATAGCTGCTAAATGGTGCTTCACAGTTTCGAACACTTTTATTTCAATTTTCCAAACAAATGGAATATAAATGTGCTATTAAATTGATAGCGCACCTTAAGGTGTTTTATGCGCTCTCAACATGTGAGAAAGTTTTTGCACTACTGTTTTCCAATACGGAATAGCTTTAATGTTCAAGGATATTGCGGATTTATTCTTGAATATTCGTCGCAAGACGTCATCATTATTAATAACAACAAACAAAGTCGCGTGTGTAGTATATGCGCGAATAGTTGGCAATACGCAGAGCATTGGCTCATATATATATTCGAAATATACATTCATCGATACTTATGCACGCATCATGTAACGTCGCCGAAGACCATTGATTTTATTAAAACGGGGTAAGCGCGAGTGCGAGCTTTTTAGCCCATACACACTCACACACTGTATGTGATTCATCTCTTTCGGAACTGGAATAAGAGAATTGAATTAAACGCGACGAATATGTCGAAAAGCAACAAAAGCAAAAGCAGCAGCAACAACAAAAAAAACCATAAACGAATCATAATACGTACCGGTCGAAATCATACAACTTATGCCTGAGCATTTTAGTCAGAAAATTATATTTAATTGCTGAACTCGAGTGATCTCGTTCTTATCGAGACCAGCCGGACGGACCGATCAACCGACTGAATTCATTAAGTTGTTGCCGTGCTTGGTAGTCGAGATAAAAGACCTTATTTATTGATTCGACAAGTAATTCGGTGGAGTACAATCGTTTACAAATTACAATTAGTGGGAACAAACAGGGATTGGAAGGAGGAAGAGAATGAACAATAAAATAAAAAAAATACTTCAACACAACAAGAGAAGTGTCACTCACAAATGGCAAAAAAATAACAAGGCAATCATTTTTTTGTTCGACTTCTTTTTTTTAGCAAACGTGAGACAAGGCAGAGCATTTGAACATTTACTGCTTGCAAATGAGCAGAGATAAGAAAATATTTTATGGGATCATAAAGTGAATCAACAACTTTCCAGACGAAACAGAGAAGAAAAAAAAAGACAAACGGACTCCAACACACACACAAACACACAATATTCTCACTCTTGCTTTAAATCAATCAGTCAAATATCATTGCGAACGGCCAAAGGCGAAATGGTTGACTCTCGCAAAATTTATAAACACATGGCAATGTGCTGGGCCCGGTAACAGCACAACGCTTGCGCTAATCAATAGTAAATCGCATTAAATAATGCGATAGAAACACAACAAACACTTATTGGAGGAGATTTTTTTATTCGCTTGAGCATGCACAGCCAGATGAATTGTGTGTATAAAAAAGAAAGAAAGAGAGAGAGAGAGAGAGGGAGAGAGAGGGAGAGAGAGACTCAGCGAAAAGCTGGAAAACTTCAAACACAAGCGCGTTGATCGTTATCACCAACTGGGAAGTTTATTATTTGGGTAAACATATAAATTCAACAGTATCAGATTAACTGTGATTGCCTTGTTTCGCTCTCAGGTTTTGATTGTTGTTATTGTAGTCGCTTTTTTGCATGATTTCGATCGTTCATCACAACACACACACACGAACAGCTCAATGAATACTTTTTTCTCTATTTTGTTGCTAGCTAAATGACGCAATGTTGATGCTTTGCAACGATGAATCTATTACATTTGCATTCGATTTAATTCCTGGTGTTGTGGTGATTCCTTATGCTAATTCTAATGTACACTTTCCATTTTCTCGTCTCTTCATTTTATTTGTTTTTATGTTTAGGAAGGATGTGCAAATTTCTGCAAGTTTTCAATCATAGAACGTATATACTATGTGTTTCTATCTATTTATGCTGAGTTTTTTTCCGCAACGATCTAAAATGGAACACTAAAGATCAACGCACTACATTCGCAGTTGGCTGGGATTTGCTTTTACTTTTCAATTCTATTTTCAGTTACAAAAAAGTCAATGGAGAATCGAGGAAAAAAAAACGATTTCAGCTTGGAGTTACGAGAATCCGTTGAAATGAAATTTGCATACGGAGACATTATCAAAATACTTAATTAGTTCTCACTACCTTTTTGTATTGTAGATGCTGTGTTTGGAAGAGCGGCGATTCTCGTTTTGAAGAAGAATAAAATCTCCCCGAAAAAAAAATGTTCGCTACCAAAATAGTGTTGTTATTCACTCCAAATCGATTTTCAAAGTCAATTTTCCGACAACCAGAGTACAGTAGAGTTGAGTAGACACACACGCTTTTTAATTACATTTACAAAACAATTATTTTGCCCGCTTTATTTCGGTTTCTGGTAGTAGTAGTACATTTACTGCAATCCAATTTTTGTATTCACTTCATTTTTATTTTCATTTACTTTTCACAAATCGGTCTCTCTAATCTATGTTTTCCTTTGTGTGTTTCGTCCCGAGAAAGCAAACAAAAAATTAAACAGAAAATTTTAATCCGTGTGCGTGTTTGGCTTGCAGTCCGAGTGTGTGTTTAAAATTGTTTTATAGATTTGGATATACTATTTGCTAAACAGGACGTTGTGGTTTTTTAAGAAAACACTGCAATTTTAACATTCTCTCGTTTTTTTTCCTCTCTCTGGAGTTTGTTTTGTTGTGTACTTTGAAAAATTGCTGTTAATTTTGCACAAATGATTAAACACGAAAATGTCAGGTTTTCCGTCATAAACACACTGATACATAGACACACAAAAATCGCGGACAATCGCAAACAAAAACCGAATAGAAACAAAAAAAAAGGTAATAATATCTATAACTGAGCTCTAATTTGTTTTTCGTTAGAACGGCGAATTAGTACAATTTTAGTAATACATTAATTTCGCCGTTATTACATTCTATAGCACATATACACACTTTAATTTATTGTCCGAGCACAAGCAAGTTCATTCGCTGGATAAACGTTGACAACAATTGCAAGTGAGATGTGTGAGACAAAAAGGCAGCCAGCTGTCAATATGCTGAAAATGAGATCAGATTTTGAAATTACATTTTTTTTTTCTCTGGCAAATTTACGGAAAAGCACCTGATTTTCGGAGTTTATTACGTTAGAAAAACATATGTTATTTTGAGGATAGAAAAAATATTCTGATTTTGAAAAGTGTCAAGTGAGTTGCAGTTAAATTAAATTTGTTAAGAATGAAATGTGCGTTTTTGCATTTAAAAATAAAATGCATTGAGAAAGGAATGGAACCGGCAATTCATCTTACTTGCACTACAAAAACACCAAAAACAATCTTTTGTTTTGTAATTTTATCGGTGTCACACTCTCAGAGAGACAACAACCAAAAGTTCACAACAGAGAGACAGAACCAACAAAACAAAGCGCGAAAGAAAGAAGAAACACGATACTGAAGAAAAAAAAACAACGTTTTTACTCTTCCGCAGAATATCACTGAATGAGCGAGTTCAAGCTGTTTTGTCGACAATACCGCTACATAGTCCGACTCACGATGACGATCGATATATGAACACTGAACGAGGAGAGCACACGGCATGCCGCCTGAACAGACTGTGTGTCACACACAATATGCGATGTTCATCAAACGAATACCACATGTATACTATTTGGCACGTGAGAAAATGATTGAGCACTTAGGCACAAACGAAAGAGATGGATGTGTTTTATTTTATTTTTTGTTTCTGTACACACAGAGTGCTGTGCTGGACGCTGCTGTTGCTGCTGCTACTTTTTTTTCGTGTGCTCCATTGTATTCGTTCGGGCTGCGTATTATGGACTTATGTTTGTTCATGATTTTTCGTGGATGTGGTGTGTTTTGTGTACACTGCGGCTGGTTTTGTTGTTGTGGTTTATTATTATATATAATTTTTTGTTTCATTCAGTTTTTCGTGTGTGTTTTGGTTGAGCTTTTTCAATTTTTAATTCATCAGTACACATTTGTTCGGTTTTTTTCATTGCTTTTTTCGTTACTCTGACAGTTGTTCTGTTGCATTATTCAATTTGATTTGTTTTCTCCATTGCCCGTCTGGTGGGATTCGATTTGTTGTGGCTTTTAAATTACCAATTAAGAAACGATAAACGCTCGTGTGCAATGGTTTTCAAGTACTTAATCTTTCGATAAATGAGCAATCGATTCAGCACTTTTTGAAATAATTTTTTTGCTATTGGCGCGGTCGTTACTTTTCTCGTTACTGCTGTTGATTTGTGCTGTACTGAAATTTTGTTTGAATCGGAGCTGTTTAAGCGGCTTATGATAAGAAAAGGTCGGAAGGCTCTTGAATCAGTTGCACCAAACGTCTTGTGAAAAAGAAAAGCATAGCTAATTTGCTCAAGGTCAACACTTGGCCAAAAAAAAGAAGATAGGAAAAGAATTAAAATTTAATTATTCATCCAGAAGCAGATACTTAATCAATGGAAATTAGTCTAGAGGGCATTAACAACAAGCGCAGTGTTTGAACAGTAATTCATTCTCTATATCACGTTGAATTACGAAGAAAAAAGCACCGACTAAGTCGCACGCATACACACACACACTGAAGTTAAAAAAAAGTGAAAAAAAAAGAAATAATAAAACGAAATATTAGAAGTAAATATTGATAGAGTGCGATAATGTTTCGCCGCACGAAAATTCAAACACGTATTCCAAGGCGCATTTCCTACATTCACTGACGCAGGTTATCGTCGCTTCGCTGTATGCATACATTCATACCGTTTTTTCCGTTTCATGGTTTGCCTTTTATCAATCAAAATCGAGCGAAGCACGTTCCGTTCACAATTTACGGCAATTACAAACATTGATAATGGTAAGTGGTCACAGTGAGGTGTGTTCTGGTCAATTTTAGTAATGATCAAGAAAGCCAAATCCTTTGTCTCTCCCCCCCCCGCATACGTAAAATTTGGCGTCGCATTGGGTTTTAATTTAATTTGATTCACTTCTATACGTACAACGTACAGCTATTTCAATGGGGTATATAATATAGCAGAATATAATGTGTTATTTTTGCGATGACGCTTTAGCTTACGTTTTTGTTGAGTTATTTTCAAATTTTCCATTTATTAGCGAAGTGGTTGCGCTTAATTAGAGTTACAATTTAGCCGAATGCAATGCATTTTGCGAGTTGAATATAATGATGGCAAAATCCATCGGGACGATTGAACATGAATAAAATAAGCCCAATTTACTGCATTTGATTGGTCACTTTGTTGTCAATGAGCCTTTAATGTTGCTCTCATTATGCGTCTGCTTCACAGGCACTGGGCTGAGCGCACATGTAATTGTGATTATCTAACCGATTTATAGTTTGCTATCATTAGCTTGTCCATTAATATTCAATAGATCACGTGACCCTGTCTGCGTATTGGATAGAACCGAGTGTGTAAGATTGCAATGAAGAATGTTTGATTTGTCTCGTTTTGATTTTTGCTGCTGTTCTTCATTTCATTTCAATGGGAATTGTGTGTTATTGTGTTCTCTGTACATCTCGCGTTGAAGTAAGTAATCTTGACAGGGATTTTCACGCGTCAATGTCGTTTGAATTGGATTTGAGATATACACCACTGACGCAAATAGCACATTTCATCTATCGGACTTTCGCACCGTTTTCTCCAACAAACCACATGTCGCCACAATCATTGGATTTGCTGAATAGTATTTATTATTAATGCGCATTTTTCGTTACCGTCTGCCATTCATTTATTTATTTATTTTATAAGCGACGGTGCTTTTTTTCTGTTTGCTTTCTAACAAGAATAGAACACATTTCCGTGCGAATGACTACTTAGCAACAAAATGAAAGAACAAAATGTGTCGTTGAGAATAAAAATGGGATTAGCCGAAACCGCTCATTTACATGTGAATCATTTTTATGTTCCTGGTAAGAGATAGAAGACATATGTCTGCTGCAATGTTTTAGAATATTTCAAGATCTTTATCTTTGCTTGAGATACTTGCCCCATATCTTGTACCAGAAACACAAAAATGATTCGCATAAAAACACGCGGTTTCGGCTAATCCCATTTTTATTCTCAACGACACAAATCATATCGTTTGATTCCAACACATTTTTCATGGTTTATACTTTTGACGATATGTGAAACCCATAGATTTTCCGAATCTGGCATGTGTATTCAGCTCTTCAAATCACAAAGCATTCTTGTGGGGCTTGTAAAACCAAAAAAAAGAAACAAACCAGCCTCCATTAGCATTGATTGAACAGAAAAAAAGAGCTTCACCTGGGGACTGGGAGTGCAATGTGCCATACTTCCACTGTTAACACAAACGCGCACTCGTTATAGATCACTATGTGCATGATTCTCTGTTTCTGCAAGTAGTCCTCAGTTGGCGCTTTATTTATCTCATTCGGCATATTTATACGGTGGTTCATAGAGACTAAGAAGCAAAAAATGAATGTCTATGCCTGATAATTGTCAAGTGATAAAAATGAATGTAGAGATATCGTTTCTTTTTGTTTCCCTGTAAGTTGAACAAGAAAAAAACATGATGAAATATAGACAGCGAAAGTACAAGAGGTCGATATACTTGATCAATCCTTTAAATTCATACCATTGTTGCGCTTTTAATTTTGCAGCGAACAGAACAAAAACACAGCCCGTCACCGCTTTTTTTTTCTACTGCGTATTGTTTTTGTTTGTCACGTCAACCATCCTTTCGTTCGTCGCTCATTTGAATATGTATATTTTTGAAAGCCACGCGCAGTCGAAATTTTTCGGAAAAAATGAACCGGCCGAATGTGCAAAAATCATCGTATCGTAACGCATTCGGAGATTTAACGCATGACAGTGTGATCGATTCACAAGTTATAGTTCGTTGCACTAAACTCAAGTGCTCTCTAGCTTAACAACACTCGGTCATACTTTGATTGTTCCTTTGTGTATGCGCGCGTTACTTTACCTCTCTGTTCATTTGCATTCATTTATATAGAACAAAGTCCACACACACACACCCAACCAGTTGGAAGGAGTTCCCGAGAGATGAAATTATGGGAACAAAACGCGAAAGACACTGAGTATGTGTATTTTTGTGTTAATTTACAACAAAAAATTATACACACATATTGTCTCCAAATTGGCCATATAACTTCTTTGATATCAAATGAAACACAATCAAATCGAGCCGCGCGCTATATTTAGCACAAATCCATGTTTACAGTGTGAATGAAACACAAATAGAGAGCAACCGTGCGTCGTCCCCGTTGCACGAACACTCAAACAAAAACCACTTGGTTTAAGATTTTTAATTTCTTCTTACATGAAAATCGATCAATTGTGTTGATCTTTTGGATAATCGAATCGCGCGTAGAAAAAAAAAATTAAATGTGTCAAAATTTTAGATCTCTGCTAATCATATCATATGATATAATGCGTGTTTCAACTTGAAAATTTCAACTTGATTTTGTTTTGTTTTCTTTTTCTTTTTCTTCCTTCGTTGACTGTTGATTCTTTCTATCATTTTCTTTCTCCTCTGTTTGTTCACTGTGATGAATCTCTATTGATATGGATATTCTCTTGTTATTTTTAAATCGGGAGACATTGTGTGTGAGTGTGTTGTTCGTATTGGGCAATTTTTAAGTAAATATTAATCTCGTAATGACCTTGCTTCGGTAGCAATTTACATGTTTGTTCATTTTGTGTGACACTAGATGATGCTTCTAAATCTGTGAACAGGATGATTTAAAAAAAAGACAACAACAACGTTATGATCATTTAAGTACTTGGAACAGGTTTCTATATGTTGAACGCCGAACAGCGAAAACATCTGCAATCGGAAATAGTTTTTTCTTTCGGTTTTTGTTTCATTCATCCCAGATGATCGCGTTGAGAATATGATTGCGAGTTTAAAATAGTGTCACGTTTTCAACAACGAAGCTTGACGTCATGCCACTCACTCACTCACTCACTCCACTTCAAATGTGAATTTTGCGTGCCAAAGTGCATTTTGACTGTCAGATTATTCGGAATCGGAAAGAAGGCTTCACACTACTAGATGAAATGGATGGCCATTTGTTTTTCGATTACTGCTTTTTCCTTCCTTCCAAAATCGCGCGTGCTGTGGCCCACTTAGAAACGAAAAATTAAATGATCAATTTATTGCCTAAGCAATTTGCGTTAAATGTAAAATCCATTTTCAAAATATACAACAGCGAATATGGATTTTTTCTGAAGCGATCTCTGAACACAGAATGAACAACACCACATTGCTATACATCGCAGCCACAGCCGCTGCTGCTGCTGCTGCTTTTCCGAAGTGAAAACAATATAATTTTTCACACATATCTTAATAGATTTGTGTTTCCATCGGAACCAGTTCTATTTTCCATTTCGTTCGGAGTAAACGTATTTTCCCCGTTCATACGCGTGGCAAGACGGCGGTGACGGCTACGACAACGACCGACGACGACGGATTCACAGTCCCGCGCCAAAAAGAAAGAAAAAAACGTTGTTGTTTCTATGAAATTAAATTTACTACAAATGAAGACACACACACACACCGTTCAATCCAATATTTGTGTTTGTATAAAATGAAAAACCAAACTGAAAAATCATCATTACGCTGCAAGAGCAAATAATTTAAGTTTTGTTGTCGGTTTTCCACTTATTCTCCGTTAATTTATTCGTTTATTTCATTGATATACATCTATCTATCACACGGTGTGTTCAGTTTTTCGCCAACGAAAACAATCTATCCATTATCTGCTATCAGCAAGAAAATTTGAATGCTACGAACGTTAGACAGATATCCATAAATAACCGTTTTGTAGTTGTGTGTGTATTGTTTATTTAAATTTATGAATTTGTGATCATGTGGAGAAAAGATAAGGCATGTCAAAATTGTTTTTCTTTATCAAAACAGCGAACCGCTTTTACATGAAACGGATTCTTTGCAACGAGAAAAAAAAAACCACAGCGAAACGCTACAATACGGGTAAATATTGTGGTTGCAGTCATGTGAGATTTAATAAATCTTGTTTATGTGAATTGTGATAAATTCTTTTATTTGGGCTTTAATTTGTGATGTCGACGACTATGACGACGGCCAAGGAAGGCAAGGAGAAACAGCTTGAAATCATCTCGATAAAAACTGCACAGACCAAGTTTACACGTATATCGCAATTTGAGAAGAAGTTTGCTCGTGATGCGTTTATTATTTGCTCAACCAGAAAAACTTTATCACAAAAATCATCGTCTATTATTAGTTCATTTTGTCGTGTGCCGTCTCTCAAATTCACACCAATAAAGTATATTTATATGACGGTTCCGCTCGACTAAGCATTGAAGGATTTGTTTTTTTTTTCTGGTGGTCACCCAAGAAATTAAAAAAAAAAAAACGGTTTCATGAATGACACAACGCGTTGCGGCTCAATGGATGATTTTCCGTCAAATGTTCCGCTTTCCTTTTTGTTTCGATCCAATTGATTTTCCATTAAAATGGTTTGCTCACAGTGGAGATTAACGAACGGTGAGCCACTGAAATTTGGAACAAACTTCTCATTTTTGATGGCTTTGTGTGCACACGTCATTTGTGTGCGGTTCTATTCGAAGCAAACAAGAGTGAGGCATGGTATTTCGCTCTTTCTCTCTCACTCCTCTCGCGCCATTGTGCAATTGTTAAAATTGCCTTAAATGCACATCGGCACAAGTGCGTCATGGCATACGTGCTAGGTGTTATATATATGCTCAAGTGGTGAACACAAATCGTTCGGCTTTATAATAGGCATAAAAGGAGGCTCCTTAGCACCTTCTTTCGTGTGTTATATTTTTAGTGGAAATCGATTGTTCCATTTAATTTGAGTATTGGCAGGCATATTTATTTTTTTCTGCCACCTGATACAACCTGGCACGTTCAATTTTGTGCACAAGAAAGCCACTGTCTAGTGGCCAATTTGCGCGGCAATTCATCTTCAAACAAACAAACAGACGAGAATGAATCAAAAAATAAAAAAAATAAACGAACACCAAGAAGGGCACGTAATGGTTGGCGCTATAGATTGCGCGGTGTGTATTCTTGTGTTGTTGTTGATTCGCTGGTTGGCTGTGTGTTCGTGCCATCCTAATCTCGAAATCGTGATTTATAACTTTACTTTATCACTTCACTGCAAGAACTGAAGAGTGTAAATACACACACTCACACAAATCGATTGACCTTCGTTTGGAATAGAGCATTTGTGCATTTTAAACGTAGTCAATCAATTGACTTATTGACTTAAATTGAACGTAGATATATTTACATCAATTTGTTCATTGTGTTTAAATTTTCATCATCGAATCCATCGCGCGAATAATTCCAAAAAAAAAATAGGTGTGAATTTGTCAATGCAAACAAACAGCAATTTCTCGCAGCCCTAAATGATTTTCAAAAGGCCAATAAAGTGCGAATAAATAAAACAATTCATACTACGATGACGAATATATGAGAGGGTCGGAACAAAAGCGCTGGGAAAATGAAAAGGAAACAAAAATGAACAAACGACTATGAAATGGCAGAAAAAAATTTACCAACGTAAATAGGCAATATAATCTCCTTAAGCCATTTTTCCATGCCATTTGTTTACGTGTCAATGCATACCAGCCGGAATGACGATTATTGAATTGTCGATGTCAATCAACCAAAGTATAGCGCTATTCAATATTCACTTTCACAGTTACAAAAAAAAAATCATTACCTCAAAACTTTTTCACCTCATCGCACCTGCACACAATAAGCATTTGCGCTCGAAACAACCTCAACTTTTCGTTTCAATGCATACAAAGTAATGTGTGTGTGTGTTTTTTGACAATAAGAAAGTTAGATTGAGCATGCAATAAAACGAATGTGGAACAAAATGAAATCTATTGTGAATCGGAGTCTATCCGTGACTATTAAAAATTAGAGAAATTTTCATAATTTTGACACTTGCATTTTATCGTTTGTAGAAATTTCGCGCCAAACACCCGGGATATAAAAGCATATTAATATCGCAATCGTAGTGCACATCACACGCTTTATAAGGAAATGGATAATATATGACACATACCACGCTACTGACAATAACAACGGGAAACCAGGTCATAAACAACCTGTTGATAACGATCAAATGAAAACGAAACCAGTGATTTTCCCATTTGGTGTGTGTAAGACCAAGAACGACGACAACGACGACGACAACGACGACGAGATCAAGATATGTCGAAAAAATCAGACTATTCGATACCGAAACGAAATGTGCGAAAAGTTCGCTTTGAATTACCAACGAATTTAGCCATCGACAGCGATGACAACGGCACACATTTTGGTGCTACCGATTCAAAAAAATCGGACAAGTTTTTACAAAAATATCCAAGTAAATTTGTAGCTACATCGAAAAAGGATGAGAAAAAAGTGCACGGAACGGGCAATTATGTAAATGGCACATTGAGTTTTTCAACAACTGACTATGCAGCCATGCAGAGAAACAATGTGGAAACATGCACAGCGACGAAAAAAGAGACAAAATCCATACCAATCATGTTTCGTAATCAGTTCACAAACGATGCATCGGCGAAAAATGCACGCAAAAATTGCTCCATCGATCAACAGTACTGGGAAAATGCGGTGCATCGACGCGGTATATTGCTGCACGTTAGCTCCGATAATCAGGAGGCAAATAAAATAACATTTCGTACGAGTAAAATGCGACGATACACATCCATTTTTATGGGATCATCCAAATATTTTAAACGATCTCGTAGCCAATTGCTTAACTATCCAAAGACAAAATCACCAAATACACTGGAGCTGCCCACGAATCAACCACTGAAGAAAGAGGATTTCAAACCAATGGAAACGCAATTTGAAAAATTTAGTTATAAGCTTATTCCGACCAAGTCAAACGCCATAAAGCTGACACAAGCGAATTCCAATGAACCGCAACCATCGGATTTTGATGTGCGCGCTTTATCAATCGTTCGCAATGCTTTCAATCAGCAACAAAATGAGCTTCCACATCATTGTACCAGCGAGAATTTAAGCGAAATTCTACAGCTGGCACACAGATGGCAGTCATCGTCACAATCAGTGCCTGCAAGTGATAATGTATCGACACGCGAGTCCAGCCACTCAGTTGAATTTTGCACTTTAAAAAAATTAGATGTAAAAATGTGAGTTCAAACCGTTCGGTTGTTTCATTTTCTCTTGACTCTTTTTTTTCTGGTTTTTGTAGTGCTAATAATTGCTATCATCACTTTTAACCATATTATAGTTTATGGATGTGATTTATTTATTGCATTGCATACGGTTGTTGTTTTTTTTAAATGTTTCTGCAGAATTTATCGTTGTAATTACCGCACCAAAAACAAAGTGTGTGTACGCAAACAAAGTGTAATTGATTCCAAAAAAAGAAAAGAAGGCGCGCGCGACAGAGACACTGCACAGCGCAAATAACACGGACTAGGGCAAACGAGAGCAAAGTCAAAGGAAACGATATTCGCAAAGTAAATCGAGGATATAAAAACAATGGCAAACAAAATAATAACAACCTTTTCTTCATTTTTCTTTTCAAAAAGAAAATTGGTATAAATTTAGATACTTGCCTCCGCAATTTTGCAGGGAAACAAAATAGCGACAGTATTTATTTTTATAGTAAATATACGCGAGGTGAAAATATTAATTGTCTGCCGATTCGTTTTTTTCCTCTGTCTTCTCTGTTATTCGAATATATATTTTCAATTGTTTGCAATGGAAATGCGTAAAATGGGCATACATAAACGGCACTCTCAAACGTCGTACACACAAGTCAAGTGGTTAAAAGTGTGCTTCAGTTTCTTGATGACAAGAGAAATTGGTCAATTTATCCCGTTGTCTGATTTCGTTATTGCGACCAAACAATGCCCACGACGGTGCGGTGCGATTCAGACGTTCAGTGTGTGTGTTTTTGCATCAGTTTTTCGAGTAACTATTGGCCACCCAATTGAACAGTGTGAGATAGAGTGAGAGTGAGAGAGAGAGAGAGAGAGCACAATAGAGAATTCCCCGTTATCAGTTTGGTTGGAACACACACAAAACTAAAACATCCATCATTTCGTCACTGACACCGACTCTCATTCACTATCTGTCTATCTGGTTTTGGTTTTGGTTTTGGTTTTGCATTAATTGCCAAGTGATATACAACAAAATCGGCCCAACGTGCTGCTCATTTGCAACAAATAATCGCATTTGGCATTACGTTTCAATCGAGTCAGATTTCATTGTGTTCGATTTTTGGTTGTGGTAAAACTATTATTAGACTAATTCACAAGATCCTATAAAATTGGCCGTAATTTTTTATTTTCGTATTTTTCTTGATATTAATGCCAGAAAATCTTGACGAGAAAAATGTCCGGGTTTCCATTATTTCCGCGCAAAAAAAAATGTGTGTGTTCGATTTTAACTTCGATTGCTAACACACGTCCATCAAAACGGCCATTTCTCACAGATTCTTCTTCTTTTTTTTTGTTGCTCTGGGTAGCGATTGAAAGTGGTGTTTTGTTTTAGCCATCAATTTTCTTGAATTAGTTTGACGCTGACATTAATGTGCAACAAATCAAAACAACACATAAAATTATTCAGCATTCGTCATAGCTTAAGTGTGAACGAGTCAAAAATATATCGAATCTCGGCAAAGACGTGATGATGGACGAACGAATCGTTTCATTCGTTGAATCGAACGAAAAACCAAGAAAAATATTAAAAGTGTAAATTAACCTCATTTAACTGGTTCACTTGTTAATTTGGAAAATGAACTCAATCCAATAAACTTTAACCGAAAAAACAGCCGTAGTTCTGTAATCAGAACATGAACCGGCAATAAATTTGTACGGAAGAAAATAGCGAAAATATATTTATGAGAGTAGATGTGGAGTGTAGGTGTTGCAAATGTAAAATATTTTTTTACGAATTATTTCGTTCATTCTCTTTGAAGCGATCGCTGCTGTTTATATGAAACTCGATTTTCTATGGACTTTTTCCAATTAATTACTCCAAACGATTTGGATTTGTATTGAATTCGAAGATAAAAGTGTGTATGTAGTTAAAAACGCCAAACAAATTTAATGGAATTGGCTGTTATAGCCTTAGCTGTTCGGGGAAAAGGAAAAATAACAGAAGCAACGAAATTGATGCAAAATTTCCGTCAAAATAAATCTTCTGACACTTCGTAATTCGTGATATTTCTAAAATAGCTTCATAATTAACTGTAAATATGTAATTGTTCTTTCAATTGTTCCAATGTGCGCGCGCGCGCTCGTGCTTTCAACGCATCCGCAACTGTATCCGTAGTTCGAAGTTGCATATTCTAGTTAAATTGTTCAGACACTGACGAGCGCGCACGTGCATAATGACGAGATATTTCAGAAAAAGTGGAGTGTAAAATAGATACAATAGACGATTGCATTTTTGGTTTGGCGAATTGATAAAATGCCGCCCGAAGCAGCGCACAACATTCGAAATGTACAAAGAGACGAGAGAGAAAACCATGAGAATTTAATTTTTTTTTCTGTATTTTAATTGCACAAAGTCAAAGAAAATTAATCACGCAATCGATTCAAAATACCGTGTGATGTTTATCTCTCTCTGTGCGCGATGTTTATTTCTCGCCCCTTTTCCAGACGGAATGCGGTTTCTGTGTGTTTTTTGGTTTTGTATTCGTCAAAGTAAAAGAGTGTTTGTTTACATTTTATCGTGAGAAAAAAAAAATGTTGTATTGATTCGTTTGGGCAGGTTTGTTCGCGGCAAATTTCATATTTTGTTCTTTGTGTACAAACAAGACGAACGAACGAAGGAAAAATTGATATCGATCAGTATGCGATTTATGATTTCTCCTACATACAAAATTGCGCGATTTTCAGAAGAATTTTAACTGTTATTGGGTGAAGGAATTTCTTTAGATTGCGATGTAAACATGCGTTTAGTAGGCATTTCACGATGCATCGAAGGTGAAATCACCAAAAATGATCTTTCAAATTGTGAGCACGTAAACATTTGACGACGGAAGTAGAGTTGAAGGCATCCGATTAAGTTTTATATTTTAAAAAAATTTACGTAGTTGTACAAGCATGCACAATTCACGCAATTCGCGCAATTCGCGCAATTGAAATGAAAGAATACGAAAAAAAGCCATGAGCCACCCAAAACACATGTTGTTCACCGACAATTGATCTCAACATGCAATAAATTCTTATGGCATCGCCTATTCGAAATTCATTTGAGACAGTGGGCCATTTCGTGTGTTGCTCTCTCGTTCACTCACCTCCACCAGTCCCACATCATGTGGGCCACATGCGAACCAATGAAAATGGCACGTGAGAGTGAGACGGGCAACACTGAAATAATAAATCAATATGCACATGGTTTAACGCTTTGCTTATGATCGTTTTGTATATTTTGTCGACGACGACGACGACGACGACGACGACGACGATGTGCGTGCTATATGTTCAATGATTTCTCCACAAACAAAAATAATAAATAATTTGAATTATTTCACGGTTTCTTTTGGCGAATACACATTGTGCGCGCCCGATCGATCCTACTGCATATGAAAATAGAAAAAAAGAAGCACATACAAAAAAAACACACACACACACACATACACACAGTAGTTCGACGAGGTGATCGAAAGCCATTGAGTGATTGAAATCGAAATTTATTTTTTTTCTTCTGCCAGCTACAAAATTTCAAGCTGCTTGATTGCTACCGATAATCCCATTAGAATGCCAATCGAGACGCAATACTGAAGAGAGAAAAATACAAATCAAAACAGAAAATCGATCTTATCTCTACGGCATCGACTCGCATTCTGAATGTGATTGTTTAATTTGTTTGGATAAAACAGAGAATTCGATCAGAATATAGCCTGTCATCGAAATATCAATGAACACGTTGTTAAAATAGAGAAATATATCAGAAAACGTACAAAAATAAGAAGAGAGAGAGAGAATCCAAATAGCATCAGGTCAGTTGTATAGTGCGATCCAGAATAAATCAGGTTTTTATTCAAAGTTCATTCTTTTCGAGTTGATTCAATCGAATCGTCCTGCATTCGCGTTATTGTTGACTGGTTTCTTACTTTTGCTTGAAGACGAGGCAGTGAATTTAATAGGTCAAAGTTTCGAAGAATCACGACCACCGCACAAAAAAATAACTACTTTTTGTCGTGATGAAGTATCAATTATTTAATCGTAAAAATTGCTAAATAATTTGTGCATGAACATGTTTCCGTGTGTTTGGTTTGGCATTAGTTTGTGGTGATGGTCACCGAATCAGTAGATTGTTTTCAATATATATTCAGTTGTCGGTGTTCTTTTCTAACGAGAAGACCGGCCAAATTCACCTGTTCATAAATCCATTTGCTAAATGTCAGCGCACGTAAGATGCGGGCTTATCTGTTGGCATTCGCCAATTATAACTGTGTCTAGTGGCGTGTGCAAGTAATATTAACCGTTCATTTCTATCGAAACATTATTTAAAAATACACGACGTAGCCACACATACAATTCCATTTAGCATCGAAATTGCAACTAATTGAATGTAAATATTTAGAGAGTGAAAAAAAATTGCCTCGAACATGATCCATAACTCAATTGTGCCGTGTTTTCCGTTGCACTTTTGCCTTTATTCACCGCATAAAAATGAATTAATTGTTTTCGTGCACGTCACACTCATCGCCAATAAATACACAATTTTTGTAATGTTCGACAACCACCTTAACGATAATAAAATTTAAAACGTTAATAATTAAATTTAATCATACGTTCCATTAAATGGTCATTTCACATAAAAATTTGCAACATGAACATAAATTTGTTGCATTATAAATGGAGAATATTTCGTTCATGCTTTAAATACAGTTGGTTGGCGCTTGAAAAATCGCAGTCTCTGTTAAAATCACTTTGCTCTTAGTACACCGAACAAAGATAGAAAAGAAAACCAAACAAAAACAAGTGACATCCAAAAAATTTAATTCAAATTGATTTTTTTTTTCTGTTCAGCGCCAATAGTGGAATCAGAAGTGGAAGTGATAGCAACCGTTTCGTACACACCCCGTTGAAATCGACAAAAATGAATAAAGACAAAGTTTCATTGGTGACGACACTGTTACGCGCATCACGAAGCCAAGATGAAGACACATTACGTCATGTGCTAGAAAATATCCTAAGGAATGGCATTAGCGAGGCTGAACTGAATGCCGAGGACTGCAGTGGCCGAGTAAGTGAATGTTTGTGATTTAAATAATTGTTTGCGTTTCAAATTGAGTGTGTCGAGTGTTTGGCGACGGCGGCGGCGGGCAGCAGAGGTGGCAATGGCGCCAATTTCAGTACGTAATGCAGTTGCGAGCGAGACATTTGCAGATTCCATGTCGATAACACACATTGCGAATTGTTTTGCAATGTGCTTGCGCTAAGACCCTGAGCACGCAATTTCATCGGCTTCTAATTTAACTTTGCCTTTTTTTCAGACAACACGAGGTTTTTGATTGATGATTGTAAGTCACTTGATTGACATATAATTCAACTTTCTTGACTACTAAATATTCGAGCCTTGCGTTGTGAAATCGAAATATGCCTTCGTTATTCTGATTGAATAGCGAGAGATGCAACGGAGAAAAATAACAAAATATCAATGCAAACGAAAAAAAAAACATTCAATTTAAATTTTATTGCATCAATTCCTTTGTTCAGTGCATTTATCTGAACTGCGTATATCGGCTGCCACAAGCACTGCATTACGAGACTGAAACGAATGATCCATTGGTCTTGTGAAAAAAAACAACAACAACGAAATAGCACATTTCATTAGGTCGCTCAATGTTTTCAACCTGGAGAAATCCGATTGACTTCAAATCTCTTATTCTTTTTTTCCCTCTTTTTCTATTTTTAAATAGACTGCTTTGTCGTACATGTGCTCCACGAATACTACACACTTTTTGGAAGCATTACTACAAGTGCCTGGCATCGATATCAATAAACCGGACAATGAACTGAATACACCGTTGCACTACGCAGCCGAATGTGGTAAATTTTATTTGGATTTCTGTGTTTCCGTTTTATTTTGTTGTTGTTGTTGGTGGTACATGACTAAGTCCCAGCATAGTAATTGTATCCACGTCGACCGACCGACGAGGGTTGATTTAAATAGCTCGCGGTCATAAAAAGATCGAACTATAAACATTCTTTCAATTTGTTTATTTTAAGAACGGTCCAAACAATTATTTTTTCCTTGCCATAATTTATGTAATAGATATAATCGACGTTCAGAATATTTTAACGCGAAGAATGCGCAACTGGCAAACTCTTGACGTAATTGTGCATTCGATGCTTCAATAAAAAAAAAGAAGAGAAAAAAATACAGAAAGCGAGAGAGAGAGGGAGGGAGAAAAAATACAACCGATAGGATTTCATTCGAAACGCGCGGCCGATGTTAATTCCAATAAAAGCGTGCATTTCATGCATCACAAAAAAGAAATCGAAAATTTATTTGGGGTTTTTTGCTCTATGTTCACGTGTTTTTAGGTCATTTGGGGGCAATTCGATTACTACTCCCACAGAATAAACTGAATATTGACGCAAAAAACATATTCGGTTTTACACCTTTAATGAAAGCTGCCATACAGGGTCACATTCGTTGTGCCAAGACTTTATTATTTGCCGGTAAGGATTTTCTCAATTTATTTTCTGTTCTCAGGAAATAATTTTTTTCCAACAAAAAAAAAACGACAAATAAAAAAAATTGTATTTCCCAAAAAAAGGCTCATCACCCGTTGAAATCGATTACAAGCGGCAATTACGTGCAGAGCAATGGGCTCGATTTTGTGGAAGACACTCGTGTGCAGAATTGATCGAAAAATGGGCGCGAACAAGGAATTTGGACAAAGAATCGTTTTCAATTGCCAAAGACCAAGACAGCCACGATTCGGTGACCGGTCGCGCTCGAGCCAACTCAGCTGTACAAACGATATCCAAAGTGAATATAACACCGATTAAAAGTGATAAAGGTAATTTTGAATAAAATACCATTTTATGTGGAAAAGACATAATTTCTCTCGTTTTTTTTCTCACAAAAAGGTATTCGGTCAAAAATATCCAAAGTGTTTAATTTTGTATCGCGTGACAAATCGAGTAATCAAAATCGAAGCAACCACAGTAGCTCTAACAATAATATCAAGGATTCGTCAAAAACGGGATTTTCGGTGTATCAAAAGGGAATCACAATGCTGTCTCGCTCCGATGGTTTTCTGAACAAAAGCGTTGTACGTCCGTTAGAAGTGCCAAAGCTGGAGGTGACATCGCCGCATAATCAGGAACTCATTCGAAAATATGAGAAGCGATACAGTTTGGGCAATAACGAAAATGCCAAACCACCTGCATTGCCACCGCGTCGAAGTTCAAAACAAATCTTTTAGCTCAAATTTAAAATCCTTATTTCTATCCATCGCTCTCTCTCACTTTCTGTTACTCCGTTTCTCCCTCTATCTTTCATTTCGATGTAGTTCATTGTTATTTGTAAATTTATTATTGTTTCCATTGTGATAATGGCAAATTATGCTTAAAAAGCTGTCAAACATAGTATTAAAATTAAGTCATTTGTTACGTCTAAATTTGTTAAACAATCCATTATATTTTATTCAAGGACCTTTCTCCCCCCCCCCCCCCCCCTCTTTAATTTCTCTCTCCTTTTTTTCGCACACACGACAACCATTTGTTAAAATTGCATTTTGGCATTTAGCCCGAAATGGAATTGCATTCAAATCATGTGCCATGTACTTATCGTGAACCGAACAAATCATGTTAAGAAAATAGATACACCAGACTCGCTTAGCTTACATTATTATCTGAATAAGTTCAAATCAATTTATACATCTCAAACAACAACCACAAACAAATCAGATTTTATTGTAACAACTTTCTTTTATTTTGTAAATTTTTAAAAAATAATAAAGAAAACCGCTGAAATCATATTCAGTTCGGTCATTTATTTTCCGAACCGTTGCATTTTATGGAATATTTGTTCATTTTTTTCTGTCTTAAAATCAATTCAAACATTTTTGTTTCGTTTTTCAAAAAATTTCGTCAACATTTAATTCAAACGTTTCTTGCATCGCTCAAAAACCGAAGTACCCACAAGTTTAAGTATACATTGCCGTGTTGCTGTTGAAGTAGCAGAAATACATTTGACTTGTGGGATTGTACTTAAGGTTGGAGCTGTCAAACGTACGATTGAAATTGTTTACCTTAAAATACTAACGTTGTGCTTGCGTTGGAATACATGCAAACTTAAAACAGTAAAAAATCATTATTTTTCTATTTGTCAGTATTTTCCAAACAAATCATCTTATTTATTTATTTGTAGGTAAAATGTCGTCAGGTCTGTATAAGTCGCAAAGTGTGCACAGCAAAGAGTATCGACAATCGGAACGACGACATGCTTTGCTGGAAATTCAGAAGAATCGTCGAAATGAGTTGATGGATGAGCATCGAAGCATTGAGCCTCTTAAAAAGATATTCCGCAAGTCGACACAATCAAAGCACACGCGCATAAAGAATCAGCTCATGCTGTCGGAGTGGCTGAAAGAGGTGCCAGACGACATAGAAAAATGGTACATCAAACCATGTCCAAAAGGAACTAGAGTGCTAGTCATTGCGGTCGATGGTACAACGCGAGTGTTCAATAAGTACGGTGCATTTATGAAGAGATTTCAATCAGAGCTGCCGGGCGATCGACGAAACCGACGTGATTTACTCACAATTCTCGACTGTGTTTATGTTGCTGCATCGGAAGAGTATTTCGTGTTAGATGCACTTGCGTACGGTAATCAAGCGCTAACGGAATGTGATGCCGAATTTCGATTCTTTTGGATTGAATCACAAATACGTGAATCGAACCTAGACCAAGTGTCCGATCACAATGAATATCCGTTTCGAATCATTGAGAAATGCAATTGCGGCGATGAAATGGCGCTAAATGAATTCTTGTCGAAATATCCCGTTTGGCCAAACAATCAACCAGAATTAGACGGATTCCTATTTTATCACGGAGAGGCTTCGTATGTGCACGGTAAAACACCTCTGGTTGGATGGTTGTTTACCTTTATGATTCCCGAACTTTTTGACGCTCCGTATCTGAATGAAAACTATCTAACGGAAAAACCGGCCGATTATCTTAATTATCTCACCTTTATGAAGCAATTTGACGAAGACATAGAGCAAAAACGTAGAAATAGGAGAAATAAATACGTTGAACGCATGGAAGAAGAAGGTGAAGGAGAAAGGGCGAAGGAAGAAGGCAACGATGCCGCGTCAGTCGTAAAGGAAGCCATGGAATTGGAAAAAGGCGGAGCAGAAGATGACGAATTTAACGATTGAAATTATCAACGAAGCAGCCTGTCAATGAGCCAAAACCAAATTTGATCTACTTTGTAAAAAGATGTAAAAAGTACTATGTCATATAAAAAAATGCTAATAATTTAAATGGATACAGTGCGGCCTTTGACATTTCTATTTCAAAAATCAATTACGATGTTATAAATAAAAATAAATGTTCGAATTTGATGCTGCATATTCAAGTAAATAGTAACAATGGATTCATGTACACGTCTTGATATTCTTAATGTTTAGATTCTTAACAAAATACAATTAAAACAAGTACAAGTTCAAATCGCTCGAGAATAAGTTAAAGTTATAAGTCTTCGGTGAATTTCTTATTTTTTCTACGTCGTTTGTTCTTGATTTTGCTCAACACTTCGTAGGCTTGTTGAATTTCCATGAATCGCAGTTGAGCATCACGCTTTTTGCTATCGTCCTTCACTTTGTCCGGGTGATTTTCTTTTGACAGTGCTCTCCAGGCACTTGTTATTTCGGGCTGACTTGCTGTCGGCAGCAATCCCAAGACCTGGAAAAACCATGGAAGATACGGATTAGTTTCTTAATTATAAACAAGATCGCAGATCGTCGCTTCGCTCCGCTCTGCGTTCTTGAAACTTGTAAATTTAAAGAGTTTAACTAATTTGATGATTTTCATCAAATTATTATCGTAAGCACTACATGGAATGTAGTTTTAATCGTAGTATTGTATGCAAATCATCCTAAAATTGTCAAAAATAATCAAATAAATTTATATGATGATAATATATTCTTCACTTATGTGTTTTATGTACATTCAATGTGAATGATCATCGTACATTATTTCACATTGGTAACGAAAAAAGTGTCAATTTTTTTTTGAGTTATCTCAAAAGTGAATTACATGAACATGATTTTATTTCATTTTTCCAATTAGGCGTAATTTCTTCATTTGAAATAAAAAAAAATGGATATTAAAATGAATTAATTTACGGTCCGAAAAAATGGCCTAAAGGCTCTTAAAAATTTCTTAGGAAAAAACAACAACTATAGTAGCCTACATTCCATGTAGTGCTAAAAAAGTATGATATCATTATGGTGAGATTTAATCCTCTTTGTGCACGGCCAATAGCCCGTTTTGCACAAACTGTTGTTCTTATGTTACCTTATAAGCCTTTTGTTCGCCATCCACGTCCAGAGATTCTATAATTTGCTTATAAATTTCGTACCATCCGTGATGCTGTGCGTATGTGTAAATATCGGAGAGTGTTTGTTTCAGATCGGTCCACCATGAAGATGCAAAGAAATTGTGTATCGCTTCATGCACTGGAATCTCTTCGCCTTCACCATCCGAAATTTTGCCATTGAAATAGAAGAAAGCAATCCACACTGAGAGATAGATACAAATTCCGACGGAGAGATAGAAGCAACGCTTTTTCAATGATCGTCTTTTACGGGGTTGACGATCGTAATCTTTGCTGAAATAGTCGAACGCCAAGGCCGATGCCACCAAAGTAAATGTCAACCAGTATGATTCATCATAGATAACATATCGAATAGGATATGTTACATATGCAGCGAGCACACAATGCCATAAAACGCCACGCTCCCGGCCAATATTTCCAACCATGTAAATTCCTGACGAGAAGAAGAAACATTTTAATCATTGGAAAATGAAATTGAAATGAAAAAATATACACAAGTACCTAGCGATCCGACGAATGGCACGAACCAATGCAAGTAGCCCCAATCGATTCCACCAAATTTATCTTGTGGAATGGCGAGCAAAAATAGCTGTGCCCACAGGTAACCAACCATGATTCCGAACAGGAAGCGTGAAGTCGAAAATGGCGGCTTTTTATACACTCTCAGAATGTTGACGAACTTCTCAATGAACACCAGATCATCGTTTGCATCTCGGACCATTTCTGGTATTTTGAAAATCTCACCAATCCATGCAATACCGAAGTAGCCGCCGATCGTTGACCACCACAGAAAAGCTTGCAGATCATTGCCCAAATACAAATGGTGTAAGCCAAAGACACCGCCAAATAGCCATAGTAAATACGTTACGAATAATGATTTTTGTGGTGGTAATTGTGGATAAATTCTGCAAAACGAAACAATTCAATTAAATAAGAGTAGAACAAATCGATTCGGAATAACGAAAAGTTTTTACAACCAAGTGCACAAGTTTAAGATTAAAACAAAACACACATTATTATGTGTTGGAAGATGTATTCAGATGTATGGCCTTAAAAACATCTGATATGATCGTAAACATCTGATTGTCGTATATGCATCCTTCTTTCTATTTTCACACATGTGTTCATTCAGTCTAGAATTACGTTGCCCAATGATGTCGTCAGCGTACACTTGTATTTGCACGATTTGTCGATCAGAAACATTAACTAAATGTACACGTCGTCGAAACAGAAATGTTTTTGTTTTGATACGATTTCCATGCAAAGTAAAAATGATAGCCTTTGGTTATGAAGAAAGAGTGGGCCCGTATAGACTTTGAGATTATATTTCCGTATCGCAACCCAATTAAATTAGACAAAAAACGACAACATGATTTCGTACGAAAAATTAGTGATAAGTTGTCAAAAAAAAATCTTTCTATGTGCATCTTTTGAATGGCACGACCATTTCAACGAAACTAAATGCTCTAAAACCAGTTATAAAATAGAACAATTGAAATCAATGTCACGAATTTCGAGACATTTTTTTTTTCCTCTTCATTTTCGTCGAATATGCTATTTCATTTTTGCACATCTTTTCGTGTTAATGGCAACAATTACAAGAATATAAGCAAAAGAAGAAGAAGCAAGAGAAAATTGTGTTCATGTCACCGTTAAAAAGCGAATCATTTCATCCGGAATACTAATCACAACTACATATGCAACACTCCAATGCGTGTGTCTTGTGTTGTTATTCTGCGGTGGAAGACTTCTTTTGAAGACAACTCACAAGCGAATGCGCTCAACACAACGATGAATCCAGAAAAAAAAATGTGAACCAAAATAGGTCACTTAAGTGTGCCCATTTTGTTTCGATTTTGGATATAATTCTTATGCCGTTGAACGTTTCGACAACTTTGCTCATGTATTACTCAACACTTGATCTTAGACGTGGTTATTCTACCGGCCTATTTACTTACTTTTCGGTGGAATTTTTTGGTTTTCCATTTTTCTGTGGCTCTTGTGTTCTCGATTCCGTTTTCATTTTTGCTTCGTTTTCAAATATTTTGATGCAACACACAGAGGGAAAAAAACACTTTGATTCAGTTTAAATTATTTTTTTCGCGTTGATACTATTTCGGACGTATAAATAAATATGGAGAGAAAAAATCAAATGAATTTCACAATATTTCTATTAATTTTTATCACTGCGTCAAATTTCACTTCAGTTTTGAATGCACAATGCGGGGCTACAAGTGTGATTGGTATCGTTGTTCCAATTGGAATATCGCCCACCGATCGATGAGTTTCACGATCACGACGTGAAACTCAACAAATTGTTTTTATTTTCTTTATTTTACGTTTCAATCGTGTACTGAAATTAATGAGCAAACACGAAACTGCTGTCGATTTACCTTAACATTGATAAATTCTGTTTTTGGCGATCCGATTTTCTTTCTCTCTCTCTCTTTCTCTCTCTTTCGCTTGCTTGCTTTATTTCACAAGTTGGTTTTGCCTTGATTCGTTCTTTCATCAATTCAAAACACTTCTGGAGAAATATATTTATTTCGTTTGTACGCGCTCGTTGGAATCGATGACAAAAGAAGAAAAAAAAAACTACACAATTACATACAATTGAGTTGATGGTTGTACGAATCTTATAGTTTTCGTACGTAGTTGTTGAATCACTTACTTGAACTGAATGAATAAAGAGAGCGAGAGAAAGATTTTCTTTTTCTGGCCTGCAGCTGAACCAAGCTGATCGAAGAGCGTTCTTAAGACCGCACTTCTTGCTATGCGATACAACACACCGACATGTATCGTTGTGTATGTGTTTACGTTTTATGTATGCAATCGTTGTTGTACTAAGATCTCAATCCACTGAGACTTGAACACGTAATGAATATTTTGTGTTTGTTGTTGTTGATGATGATTTTGTTTTTATTCATTTGGAGAACCGGTGAAATGCTCGGCACAACTGAAATGTTGTAGTGTGACCGAATGAACGTATACACATAAAGGCATAGCAAAAAGAAGAAGAAATTAAGAAAGAGATAGAAAGAGAACAAAAGCAAAAGAGAGAAAGAATCAAAGACTTCTTTGCTGTTGCTGCTGTCGAATGTTCAGTGTGGTCGTTACAAGCTGTCGTATAAATTTTTAACCGTTGAACTGATGATTTTACTATTCGTCTCATCCAAAATCACTTGTTTCAACTGTTCGCATGAAATCAATTACGAGTAGAAGAGTCATAACCGACGCATCGAACCATAGTAATGACATTTAAATGCTTGTTTCAGACAATGTACTGAAAAATGTATGTGGTTGTCTGTAGTCTAAATGGATATTCACCGAAAATGATGACCGATAATCAACTCGACTACCCAAAAAAATGTGGCGCATCGGACGTAATAGTGCAATTGTGTATGTTGCAAATTGTGTGACACGCATTTCGTTTGACGACATTTACGGTGTTTGCTGTCGTCTGTCTTTTCATCTGTGGCACCGGTTCGATTGAAACGTAATTATTCCATTTGCTTGTTCTATGTCATTTTTTGCTATATTTTTTTTCCACATTTTTCGATACTAATTTTTCTCTACAAAATGTGTTTGCAACAGATTCGACGATGAGCTGTGTACATGGACATTTAATGCACGCCAGATTCCGGAGCTATGGTCGGCAATTTGTCGAATTTTGGCATGAATATTTTCGGTCAACGGGAAAGAATGTTCGTGATTTGCCGATCAAATATTTTTTGAGTGCTGTGGACTTGATGAACGTACGTGATTTATGGAGTTGCACATGTGAGAATCTCGTTGAAAAAATCTTCTCGTTCTGTTGCCCGAAATGCGACAAATATTTTTCATCCGAAAAAGCGCTAAAAACACACACGTGCCGAAACAAACAACAAGCCGTTTTAGTCAACAAGCCGTTTGGATGCATATTCTGCGAGAAATCATTCCCAAACAAAGACAACCTCTTCCGGCATACGATAACACACACCAAGGAATACCATTGCGAAATATGTGACCAAACATTAAATCAATATAACATGAAATGTCACAAGAAAACCAAAAAACATTTGAACAATGTACAAACAATGAAAAGTAAGAAATCGAAGAAGTGAATACCGATCCATTGAACTGGTTGAGATTTGCTTATGAAAAAAATGTTTGATATCAATGTGCTACTATAGCATGAAACAAAAAGAACACATTGAAATAAAGAACATCAAAGATGTTTAATTTGATTTTGAAGCATTTCTTCTCTGTTTTTATTTGGACAAACTTCCTTTCCAAGGTCTTTATCGATTTACACAACATAACATTGTAATTCTATAGTACAAGTAGATTACATAAATTAAGAGTTACCAATATTAGATTATATATCTTCTTTCTTTAATTTTTTTCTTCTCTTTTTTACAGCTTATTGTGTGATTTTGTGTTATCTATAACGCTCGAATTTGCTTAGAGTAGTCCTCTCTCTGGCTTTCATCCTCTTTCATTCGATTACAGTTTTTTTTTCTGTGTGTGTTTGTGTATATGTGGTTTGGGTGAGTTTATACGTTACGGTGTTATTTTGGTGCCCTTAATGCTAGCATTATTTATTAGTTATTTCTTTTTCTGAATGTACAAATTGCTTTGTCCCTAGTTTGGTACATTTGATTTGAACTTGTGATTGGTTTTTATTAGTTGCATTTCATTTCATTTATAATTCTCTGTAAATACAATTTTCATCTGAGTTGCCCAAACGAGATTAGCTGCAGGCGGTTTGTTTTGAGTTTTCCCGATATCACGGTTGGTTTGTAATTTAAATGACATTTAATTTTGAATAAATTTTTCTTCCATTTTTGAACATTCGAAATTGGTAGAACAAAGTCTGAACTAACTATAGCTGGTAGAATTCGTCTTGTTGCTCTTCTAATCTGTGCAACGAAGTTTTTACTCGTTTACCATGTGTAACGACCATTTGAGTGCCATTGCTTGCACCACTGCTGCCATAGCCACCACTGTGGTAGGATGATGAAAGCGCATATGCGGCCGCCGAGTGTGTATTTTCTTGAAAGTCATTATCCTCTATCGATGCTAACTTATTTAAGCTACTTTGGCTGTAACGAAAACAAATGAACAATCGAATCAGTCATTTGGGCAGAGATTGGTCTGGTTCTAATTCGAAAAGTTGGCACACCACTTACCTATTTTTTACATATTTCTTCGTTTTCGCAAGGTTCGAGTCAATTTTACCTAAGAAATCCTCGATAGACTTTTTACTCTCCTCATCCGGACTAAGTATATTATCATTTAAGTTGGCTGTTGGACTGTTCGATGCATTCGGTGATGGTAAACGTGATGATCCGGCATATGTTGGTGATTCGGTGTCATCTGCATTGGCCGGCAACGACATTGACTTAACGAACTGGTTATGTTGCAGTGATGTATCCCGATCGACTGGTATCATCAAATATTGCCGAAGAAATAGACTATCTTGAGCAAATAAACGATTCACTCGTCGAATTTGTTCCGTCTAAATATGCACACAGATACCAAAGATAAGAATGAAATGAAAAATCAAACTGTAAAAAATTATTCAACATCAACAAAGTAACATATCAATCAGACAGAGGGGATCAGACAGGGTACGAGTACCATTTGGACGTCTAAGCAAAAAAAATAACACTTTTGAAAATAGTCAATAGTCGAACTAGTCATTCGATAAGCAGTAATAAGTTCTTATCAAATTCCAAATAACGACGATATTTATGATGTGCGCCCAAATTGAACGATCGCATGGAAATTGATTTGAAATACAAACTGCTGCTGCCGCTTAATAATATTGCCCTTATCAAATGTCAATGGTGCTTCTGAAGGAATAGGAAAAAAAACACAACAGCAGCAGCAACAACAGCAACAGTAACAGCGACGATGTTGTTGTCGTCGTCGTCGTCGCAGACAAGGGGCACAGAAAAATAATACTCAATACGAAGTTGAAACAATTTATCTCTATACAATATGTATATTGAAATTGAAGTAATTTGTCGTGTGCGCACGGTGCTCGAAACCGCAACGTGCAAAGCTGCTAAGGCCACTCACAGTGCAAAATGCAAATAAAATTCAATGGCAAAATGCGCTTTACAACTACTACATACCGTGCATCCATATTTCAATGCAATTCCTTGCAGCGTATCGGTTTGTTGTAGATTGTGACGTATTAGGTACTCATTATTCCGAACGTGATTACAAGTGCTTCCATATTTTTTCAACTGTCGGGCCGAGTCTCGAATAGATTGTCGTTCGTTGAACAAATTATCGCTTTCCATAGCTACGATGAGCGCCACATATGCCCTCACAGTTACCTCTCACCATTTAAAAATGAATTATCTCTGTATCACGCAAGCAGCGCACGATGCCGAAGGCGAACCGAACCGAGAAGAAAGAAGAATTGTAACCATAACCGAGCGTAATGGTAACAGGCGGTTCCACAAAAGTGAAATGATGTGCCAAAAAAAAGAAAGGAAGATTGAAAAGAAATGAGATAACAACTATTCAAAAATATTATAGAAATTTTTTCTTGGTTTGCAAAACAATAATAAATAAAATAAATAACAATTGTACAATTACAATAAGCGATAATGTTATTGCGAAGACAAACAATGTTGTAAAATATGAACCAACTAGCTACTTGAATGTCAAATGACATTTCATGAAAATATTTCACAGTTTCTTCGCTGCATTTTTTCCCTTCTTTTTCTTCATTATTACTATCTACAATTACAGGCAATAGTTCACATTAATGTGCTGATAGAAATCAATCGACTCATTGAAAATGTTCGATTCAAATTGAAAAAGAAAAAGAACACTTTGTACTACAAGCACACACACAGTGCAGAATGAATGAAAAAAAACTGTTTGCCAATTCACAGAATATTCCAAATTACAAAATACATTTTCAATGAGATAATCATTCCAGATGCACAGAAACACTCTTTGTGTACGCAACGAGTGTAAGAAGATTTGCGTATTTAATTACTTATGCACAGCTCTTGAATCAGCAAGTTATTTGACAACCGTGTCATTTATTGTGCAAAAAATAAAACAATACATAACAATGAAAACAAACGCATTGAAAGCCTAATATTCGAATGCACTGAAAAAAAAATCAATGAAAAGAAAATATTGTAATACCAGGCATTGATTGGATATTTGCCACAGAGAGCGAGTGAGAGCGAAAGAAAAAACAACAAAACTAACAATTGGCAAGCTCGAAGAAATATTTACTAAGCAACCAAGGCAAAGGAACTGTCAAACTATCACTATATTTATATGCGATTATTTTTGAAACTTGGATTTTCTTCTTACACTTCGACACACTGTCATATGATTTTGATGCTTCAATTGAATTTATATGTGCGATGGATGTGCGTACAGTGTGTTCGCTACATAAAACTACTGTCACTATCTCTCTGCCAAGCAAACTCTTTCCGCTACACTGTCACACACACGTTCGTTTCAATCAACACAATCGGACTGGCACTCCGCGTTCGTTGCCTTATGTGATATGGTGGAACTAAAATCATTTGGTTGATTTTATTATTTCTTCTTTTTTTCTCGACAGGACCAAGATCAATGATAAGGATAAGATAACAATTCGAATATTGTTGAATTGAAACAGCTGTATTTGTGTAATTCTCGAGGAACGTGGAATGTGGCTCCCTCTATTGTTATTCCATGACATTGATGTGACAGCTCTCTCAAATAACATACCGATGAACTTGACAATGGAATAAACCTGTTTTTTGTGGTTGAATCTTTTAAACCCAAAATTCATTTCAAACATGAATAATTTCGTTAAAATTTGGCTTGAAAATCAAATTATTTTATTTTTTCCATGAAGAAAAAACATTTTCTAAAGTAATTTTTCAATTTACTACGATATATGTTCAATATTGCGCGCATTCAAAATTTTGATTGCAGTAAATTGTCAAGCGTCGCCTCTGCGGCGAAAATCGCTACGATCGAATACTTTAGTGTGGCAGTAAAACGGGCGCCTATGTGTAGATTGTGAGCGAATTGTTTAAAACTTTGATCCTAAATCTAGTGACTTGTGCTGATTATTGACTAAATGTAAATAATTATATTTTTTTTTCTCTTCATTTTTTCGCTTTCGTTACAATCATTTTTTCCCCGTATCAAGTGACTTTTCAAGTGAGTTGATTTAACAAAAAATGTGTGCACATATTTGAAATGAAAAGTGTTTAACTGAGCGCAACAAGTGAACCAAGATCATTCTGTGACATGAATTCGTATGTGTCAACAAATGTAAAATAGAAAGTAAACGCCATTACGTTTTTTTTCTTGTGTGATAATTTAATTAATATGTCAAGAAGAAAATGTTGCCGAAACTTCTGCAGTAGCAATTAGTTTGAATTGAAATTTGCCGAGTGATTTGTGATCGGTAAATTTTTACAGATCCCAACAATTAATTCAACACTCGAAGGAATTTTTCACTTCGGTCTAAAATTGTATGAAATTGCTTGTTGAGAACGAATACTATCCAAATCATACCTAAATATAGTTACATTTTTGACTGAGAGAAAGATCTTGCTGTTTGTATAGTATATATTCAGGAAACATGAAATTGTCCCTTGCTTCTGTTTTGTTTACAAATGAAATTTTCAATTGCTATTTTCTACAGTTATCGAATCGTTCGACGTGTGATAGTTCAGCAAGCAATCAGAAAAATTCATAATGAGCGGATTAAGGCGAAGCACCCGTGCAACCACGTCAACAATCAATGTTAAATTGAATGACAAAAATGAAATCGAATATTTCAAAGTGGAAGATGAGAATGAGGACGATACTGATTCAGAGCACATTGGTGTAGATAATGATGATATCGATGAAGACGAGGACATGCCATCTGAGGCATCAGAAGAGGAGGAGGAGGAGGAGGAGGAGGAGGGAGAAGAAGAGGAGGAATTGATCGTTAATCCAGACGGTACGATGACCATCAAAATGCCAGAGAAAAAGCCAAAACAGAAAAAAGTCCCATTGCATCACATCTGCGCAAAATGTTCCAAAGTGTTGTCGTCAAGCGCCGTAAGTACTTCGTATCTTGTCGTTCAACATATGATCGATAACATTTTTAGCTGTTTCTCCGTATTTCTAGGCGCTAAAGAGACATTTAAATCTCTGTAAAAATCTTCCAAAAAATGCCGTCTGCGTGTCGTTGGGTGATGTGGAATTTGATTTCTCCAACATTGATGTTAGTGATCCAATCTATGAGGCCATTTGTTTCTGTTGTAACGAAGAGAAAGAAACAGCGCATGTAAGTAGCAACCAATTTAGTTTATCCACTGACATTTTGTTAGGTCTTGAGTAGTGACTTTGTCGAAGGAAACTTTTTGTAAAATGATTTTTGATGTTTCCGTTTCCAGTATGGTCACGTGAGTTGCAATTTCTGCCCAAAATCATTCAAATCACATCTGAGTTTGGAACGTCATCTGTACTTGTTGCATTCGCCAGAGAAACAGCACGCTTGCATGCATTGTAATGCAACGTGCCCGAATAAGGAGATACTGGACGCGCACTTGTTGAGCCATGGCACTGGTAAACCGTTCTCGTGCAGTTTCTGTGGCAAAGATTTCACACGAAAATATCACTTGGATCGACATCTTTTGTACACAAGCTGTGACAAATCACGGAAGAAACAAGAAACCGCATGTCATGTGTGCGGCAAACTGTTCAGCCGAACCGACAACTTGCGCGAACATCTCAGGGCTCACATCGGACAATCGACACGGAAACGTGACTATCAGTGTCCACATTGTGAGAAATCGTTCTATGGCTCATCGTTGCTGAAGTAATTACTCTTGAAGATTTACTCTAGTTGGGTTCACAGTGAACCGTTCACTTGGAATAATTGCGTATTTTCTTTTGATTTTAGCATTCACATCCGGACGCATACAGGTGAAAAGCCATTCTGTTGTGATTTGTGTGAGTCGATTGAAATTCTATCCAATGATGGTCTAGAGGCACATTTTATGATTTCTTTTTTTTTCTCGACAGGTGATAAATCATTCCCGTCGAATGGTGCTCTTCGAAAGCATCGCCGATCTCATACCGGTGAGAAACCCTACACATGCCAAACGGTTAGTTGAAACTAGAAAAACGTCGATATTTTTGACACTGTCGAATATTTAATAAACTCTTTATTTGTTTGAACAGTGCGGCAAAAGTTTTTCGGCTAAAGAAACACTGAATCGTCACAATAAAACACATACCGGCGAGAGACCTTACGCATGCACCCATTGCGATAAAAGTTTCATACAGGCGACTCAACTTCGATCACACATGTTCCATCACACCGGCGAAAATGGATTCACTTGCGAACAATGCGGCAGCAAATTCAATCGCAAAAATCGGTTGATAACACATATGCTAACCATTCACGCCAATGCTGCCTCCAATAAAAAATCAAAAGGTTCGTCATGCAATTCTTTTATGCGTCTTATCAGTGTCAATCGATTTTCTCACATTGATCCATTCGCCATTCCAGATTACAAGTGTTCATTTTGCGAAAAGGCTTATTCATCGAAGACCTCACTGACTGCACACGTGAAAACTCATCAGGTTGAAGAGCCAAACAAGTGTAAGCTTTGCAACAAAGAATTCAAGCAAGAAAGTGCCTTCAAGCGTCACATGGACACCAAGCATCCACTGTAAGATTTATTTGCGATGCAAAAATTCATTCGAATTGATGTGATATTGTAATGGTCTTTTACTTCAATTTAGCATGGAGAAAATCGAGGAAGAAGAAGCAACGATTGAGATTATCAAAGAGGATCCAACCAAACCAAATACGTACAAAATCATTTGCACCGGTACAGACGATAAAATGGTGGACAACAATTATGAAATTCAAACGAATAATGCTGGCGATACAATACTGGAGATTTATGAATTCCAAGATGATGAATGCGACGAAAAGCCAGTCCGTACGGCACTCATTCCATTGACTGATGACGATTTGAAGGAAAATATTGCGCGATTGCTTAAAACAGTCGTTGATGAAGACGTATTGACCAAATTCGGATATCCGAAGACACCCATCGAAAAGGTCCTGAGTTTAGTTATCAACCACTGTGGCCAGTCGCCAGTTGACAGTTCCACTTGTCCAGATGTAGGCAGCAAACTGCGTGAAAATGTTAAACTGCTCTTCACATCGGTCATTGATGATGAGTCGATCAAGGAGATGCTCAACAATCACTCCATTGACGAGGTCATTTGTCATGTTATCAAGCTCTCCGAAACCAATTAAGCAGCTTCCATCCATACACCATAAAATGTAGAGATTTTTCAAAGCCTAGAGGGATTGATAAGTCGATTTTTTTTAAGACATGGTCGATCTATTGATCAACCGATTTGTTTTGAAAACGGTTTTTTATACAAGTTCTATACAAATTATAGTAATTTTAGAAAACAGTTTCTATTTTTCCATTTTTGAAATATTCGAACGTTATTTACTGAATTTCTACCGTAAAACAAATCAAATAAATAAGATGTTAAAACGAATAATAATTTAGCATAAAATAAAAGACTTTTTTGCATTATTATGTGTCAATTTTCTTTACCGATACATCGATGAGATGGGCCAAATCTGTTTTTAGAACACCAATATTTTTTTTCAGTATTCTGAAAAGGAGGAAATGTACTTAAGTCCTTTTTTACATGAACATGTTTACCCTCGACAAAAGAGCAAGCTATACATATTTGCATCACGTGTATTTGTGTGTGTGTGTGTGTGTGTGTAGTGCAACACAATATTACATATCTGCACTCAAACATACATTACTGCTGACATAACATAAAAGCGTACAATTGCAATGTAAAACGAATTTATCAAGACAATTCAACATTGATAAGAATTTGAAATCAAAACCGATGCACACAGAAATAGAATAAAAAGAGAAGATTGGAATTTCAAAAATAGCAACGGCTCTCGTTATGTCGAACAGTTGAATGGTTTGAATTGATAAGACAAACACAATATTTATGACACGTAAATAGTCCTGCTAGTTTTGGTGGCTCAAATAAAAATGCACAATTTTTCGTTTGTCTTTTCGTACAAATGAAATTCGCTGAATTTGCCTAAGTACTTTTCAATTTTATTACATTTGTTATACTATATATTATTGATGGACTTAACTCCATATCCGAACAAAAATACATCGTTCGTCACACGAAAAATTGATGGTTTTTCTTAGTTGACGTTCGTTCACAGAAACAAATACGAAATATAAATTATTTTAGTTTTCTTTTTATCTTTTTCTTCTGACGTTATCAACTCACAATTAATAATTTAAAAACGAGTAACTATTTCCTATGAGGTTTCTGTTTTGAAGAGAGTCTCAAAAGAAAAATACGTCTTCTAAGACGCAATTCTTAAATTAATTCATACAAATACGAACGAAAAACGGAGGAAAATTCCTAATCAGCTGTGATTACGAAGAGAAAAGAATTTTTTTTACTTTTCCTGTTTTTTTTTCTTGTCGAAAATGACCACATTATTTTTAAATAATTTAAATCGTTTCTTATGAGCATGTTTAAGTGTGAATGAATCATTGAATTGGAAGAAACAAATTTCATTAGAAGCATTTTTTCTCTCGTAACGCAAATCGTGGAGCAATTCGCCAAAATGTGGCAGCGGTGCCAGTAGGAGCTGCAGCAAATGTGGTTTTTACACCAGTACAATTGGCCGTTGTGATCGAAATGGCGCAGTGTTTGCCATATGACCTTCTCGCGGCTGCAGATCTGGCTGAAAAAAGCTGCAAGATTATTGCAGTCTCTTGGCCTAGCCGGCGGCCAACCAGAGCAATGATTTTGCAACAAAAATAAATTATATTTTCTCCGAAAGACTTTTGTTTATTATTTTCTGTTTTTTTCTTTCTTTCATTCATTCATTCAGTGGTCGAGTTTAATAACGGGAAGAAACAATAACAAAAGTGTACTACACGACACGATTTCATACTTAATATACACAATTACTAAATGTTTTTTTTTTCAAATGTAGAGGAATGTTTTTACTGCTTTCATTTTCTGCTGTAGTCGTTTCTTTTTATTTGTTCCATTGAACTCGATCGCTCTCTAGAGCTGATCACTGACTTTTTTCTCTACAGTGGTTCTTAAAAAATTTTTTTATAAACTTTTCAATTGAACAGAATTCGCGTTAATAAAACTTCTTAGCTTGTGCGTTGCGATTTTCTCTGCAAAAGAACGAGAGAAAGAACGAATTAAATAAATTGGAGAAATGTTCAGGAGCTTAGTCGGATTTTTGGAAGTATCACTTACTTGTACAGTGAATACGCCAGCATGATACCAAGTTGAATAGCGGTGGCAACGAGGAAGGATGTGAGACTCAAGCAGGTCACATTGGGGCATCCAATTTGTGCTTGTGGCGTTGAAACCCTATCGAAAAGAGAAAAAATTCGATCAATCATTATGTCTCAGAGTGGGCCAAGAATAGGTCGTGTTAACTGTATACATACTTTGAATGAACGTTGGTTATGCCCTGTTTGATTTGATTCAAACCGTCTCTCATTTCACCGATCATCGATTGCACATCGTAGCCGGCTGATTGCACTTGTGCCGTTGGCTGGCGGGCTTGATTTTGAAGAATGTTATCGGAGCGCGCCTGTAAATCATTCAGTGAATTCTTCATTTCGCGTAAGGTAGCAACGAAATGGTTCTGATTCTGAATGATAGCTTCAACTTCGTGTCTGCGAATGGTATCAACATAACCTTGACCGCCTTGAGGTGGTGGCTGTTGTTGATGATGTTGAATCTGTGCGGCTCCCGGTTGTTGTTGCTGTTGCTGTTGTTGTGCATTGATTGACAACAAACCCATGGTTCGCTCTTGCCGTCCAATCATTTCATCCATTTTACGTCCCAACTCCCTAATTTCATGTGTCAATGCAGTATGTGAGGTCCATAATTGTCTCCATTCACGTTGATTGTCAGTCTCAAACCAATCCTCAAATTCATCCGGTTTCTTGAGATCTGGATGCTCTTTGCGATATTCCTCTTTCTGTAATTCCAATTTACGTTGATAGTCTTGATATTCCTGAGTAAGTTTGGCTGCTTCTTCGGGAAGTTTATGCACTTCGCCCAAATCACCCGCTTGATGCAGTGATGTGGTCAAAAAATGGAAGGCATCGTGATCGTCGGCCAGACCACCAGTTGCGGCCGAAATACCAAAGTACCCATGTTGCGGCAAATGCACATTCTCAGCGCGCAAACACAGTTCGTATTCATCTTGATTTTGCGACATGCCATTGTGGAACATAACAGTCAATGTATTTGCATAGTATTCGATTTTGGCACGCGTTGGGAATGGCTTATTACGGAAGTCACGCAAACAACCGGACAACAATTGTGTTGTTCCATCGCTAAATTCATGAGAAAAAAAAACAGACATAAAACAACAATTAATACTCGATTTACATTTGAAAGTTGTTTTACTTTTTCAATTGCTTACTTTTGATGGTCAAATAGTTTGGTTCCATCGTTCAATACAGCCATTATGTAAGGATTATTGTGTTTATTGTCATTGTCGAATGAATCGAAGAACACACCGAGACCGGTCCACTTATCAGACGAACCGAATACGTCTCCATTGTAGTCTCCCTTTTGCGTTGTATACCAAATAGCCTAAATTCCAGAAACAAAAATAAACAGTTTGTTACAGTGACCCATTTGTCTGTTCTCTCTCTCTCTTTCTCTCTCTCTTCAATCTCATTAAGCAAGTTGAGTATTTAATTTGTTTTTAATATTCCGAACAATCCATACCAATCCATCAGCACCAATTCGACCACGTCCGGATATTCTGAACGCTACTTCAATCTCCCACCAATCGAAATCGGTTTGTTTTTTAGTCCATATTGCACCTTTTTGACTCTTTAACGATGGTGCTAATCTTACACTATCCGAACTAGCAATACAATCTAGAAGAAATTTCCGGAAATTAAATTTTGAAAAAAACTCATTACAAATTGCGTCTATTCGGCATGCACTCGACGATAAATTGAGACAAAAATGCGCGAAGAACGGCAAGTGTATGGAACGAAACATGAAAAAGAATATACACACAATTCAAACATTTCGCTACTTCCAACGTGTCAAAAAATTGTAACGAAGGAGCATGAATTCATGACTCAGTGAAATGTCATACATGTTGTTCCAACATAAAAAAAAATTGAACTTTCACTATCAAAAAATAAATTGAACCAACAAAAAGTATTTAGTTCATTTGTTGCGAAATAGGCTTACGAACGCATGTCTGTGATAGCATATATATACGAAACACCAAATTAACTGACGTGTCGAAAGCAGTGAAAGATTTAACTTTGAAAACCTGATATTTGCCCGTGTATTTACTACGATGCTATATATTGTAAATTTGGTAGTTTTTTTTATTGTGTGTTACTTACTGCCACCGTACTCCCAGAACGGCACAGTTCCATCTTTTTGCGCTAAATATGGTGGTTTGAAGGAATATTTATATTCAAATCGTCGGTGCACTGCTAGGCCATCACCACTTAATGATTTTATTAAAAAAATTGAAATAAATAGCACATAAAATGTTCTTAAAGAAATACTACACGTCAAACCGGTGGCAGCCATTGTAGAGATATGACAACTCAATAGCTCAGACGCGACAGAAGAACTGTTGTATGGTAATATGTGAGTGCCTGATGTGAACTTCGCTTACGTTGCTTCGCTCTTTCTCTTTCGCATTGTGTGCGATAGTTAAATGGGTTTCTCGCACACCGACGAAATGTCATTTCACTCCACTTCACTTCACTCTATTCGTACGTGTGTTTTGACGTTGCCATTCATTCGTTAGTTCGCCGCTCCGAAATCGGTGTACAGCGGAATTGTTGTTTTGCTTTGTAAACAGCTGTTTTTTTTTCTCTTCTCTATTCAAATGAATTACAGCCAATGATTACAATGTTTTTTTTTGACTTTTTTTATCTTTATTATGAGTTGTATTCGTTTTTATATCAGTAATGTACAACTTCTCTAAATATTTCGGTAGTTTACTTAGAACATAACAACGGTTTCATCTTTTCAAAAGTTTTATGTATGTATCATGTGGAACTTTAACACTAGCTATGGCTCGCATTTTTCGCTTCCCTTCGGCCTGGGCTCGTATCAGTTTCATTCGTCTAGTCACATCACCACCGTACAATTTGGCCGCAACATCTTTTCGATAGGCTTTGATCGTTTCACGTGCCAAAACTTTGCTACCCACAACCGCCTGGATGGCAACCTGTATCATTTGTTTTGGTATCAATTCTTTTAATCTGTTCACCATATCGCGGGCAACTGTATTAACTTTCGATATGTGAACGATGCGACTGAACTCATCCACTGGCTGTTGGTTCAGATGAAGGCATAATTTTACCACTTTCGTTGATTGATAGCCCTTGTCTTCGTAATCAAAACTGGCATATCCTGATGTGACCGCTTTCAATTCATCATGAAAATCGATCACAATCTCACTTAATGGCATTGTATAGGTCATCATCACACGATTTTCATCGATATCAATCGTTCCCTGGCGCTCGCTCCGTCGTTCAACACACAATGCAATCACTTCGGGTATGTATTCTTTTGGCGTGATAATCGTTCCCAAAACACAGGGCTCAAAATATTCTTCAATGTCGCTTGGATCGGGGAACATAAGCGGATTGCTCACGTACATTATGTCAGAGTTACGGTCTTTGATTAGCTTTGGATTGGATAATTTCAGTTTATAAGTTACCGACGGTGCTGTTATTGTTGAACCAATATCGTATTCTTGTGTGAGTCGTTGGCAAAAAACATCCATGTGTAATAGACCGAGAAAACCTAAACGCCATCCTTGGCCCAGCGCTGGACTTGAATCGGGTGTTATTGTAACCGCCGAATCGTTCAAAATCAATTTATCCAGCGCATTTCGCAGATCAACGTGCTCGGATTGATTCTCTGGAAAAATGCCCGCAAATACCATTGCTCGATTAGATTGCAATCCGGGCAGCTGTTCAACTTTTGTCCCTTTTACAAATAGCGTATCTCCAATGACCGCATCTTTGCTATGCTTCATATTACATGCCACCAATCCCACTTGGCCGGCATTCAGCTTACTAACGTTCAGTTCATGTGGCCGTAAAATTGATAATGTTCGAATCACGTACGTTTTTTCCGTTGCATACGATTGAATCTCATCGCCAACACTCACTGAGCCATCTTTCACATAAATCAAATTCAATGCACCGCGATGGCGATCAAACCAACTATCAAATAAAAGAGCGCGGAATGCACCGTTTCGATCAATCACCTCTGGTGCTGGAATTCGACAAACAATTGCATCGAGTAGCTCTTTAATGCCAATGCCCAATTTTGCGGATACTCGCATCACTGACTCTGGGTCGATATCAAACAAATGGCTTAATTCGATGCAAACACGGTCTGGATCAGCGTTTTTCAAATCGATTTTATTCAAAACTGGCACCACAACGAGGCCTTTGTCAACGGCCAAATGGTAATTGGCCACCGTTTGAGCTTGGACACCTTGATTAGCATCGACCAACAAAATGACACCTTCACACGCCGACAACGATCTCGTTACTTCATTGGAAAAATCCACATGACCCGGCGTATCGATTAAATTAAGAAGATAGGTATGGCCGTCTTTGTAACGATACAGTAGTGATGCCGATTGAGCTTTGACTGTGATTCCACGCTCCTTCTCCACCTGCAAACTGTCCAAGACCTGCGCTTGGCCACTATTCGACGCAATGGCTCCAGTCATTTCCAGCAATCGATCAGCTAACGTCGATTTGCCATGGTCAACATGAGCAATTATGCTGAAGTTTCGGATTCGATTCACTGGAACATCGGCAAAATTGAAGCTATGATCTTCCACAATATCAATTTCTGTGCTGGTGCAATAGTAACGGGGTCGTTGGTACGTGGCTAACTTGACATAACCGCCAATGAAACGAGTACACCACCGTAATTTGGTAATCATATTCGTTTTTCTTCTAGAATTTTATACGAACGACGAATTTTTTTTAGGTTATGATCTACTCATATTTTGTATTAAACACCTATGATTTTCGTTACATAAAACATATTTCAAAATAAAATATTCTTAATCTAAATTTTAAATTGGTTTGACAATATTTTTTTTCACTTGTTCAAAAATAATTAAAAATGAATAAAACTAATTGCAAATGTTAAAACGAATCATCAGTTTGTGTTTTGTACTGAATAGAGACTTTGACAGTAGCAACCAAGTGTATTGTGTCACAACGCACTCATAGCGAGTTTGACACACCATAAACATTCGACACTGACACTCACATAAGCGAGAGAGCGAATATACAACGAGGCAGAAAACTTTTGTAACTGCACCCATTCAAGTCGAAGTTAATTCGCATAGAAAAAAAGAAAAATCAGTTTTCCATTTAGTAAATAAAATTCCGTAAATTAACTAGTAAATTTAAAGGTAAAATGGATTCGGATATTGATACGCTGGAGCCAAGTTTGAAGAATATCATCGATCAAACATCGCTGAAATGGGTATTTGTCGGTGAGTACAGTTGAATTAATCGCAATTTCCAATCAGGAATATGATAAAATGCAATTTGTTCTTTCGTTGCAGGCGGAAAAGGCGGTGTGGGTAAAACTACATGCAGGTAATTGAATGCAGTAGCCCTTGATTTTGGCTCAATTTTGCGTTTAGTTTTTATTGACATTCTTTCTCATCTCTGAATTTCCACATAAATTACAGTTGTAGTTTGGCCGTGCAATTGTCGAAAGTTCGTGAGTCAGTGTTGATTATGTCAACGGATCCAGCCCACAACATCTCCGATGCATTCGATCAAAAGTTTTCCAAAGTTCCACGAAAGGTTTGTTTCTATTATTAGAGGAGACAACAAACTTCCATTTTTTTTTATTTATTAACTAATTACGTTTTCTTGTCTGCACTAATTTAGGTAAATGGGTTTGACAATTTATACGCTATGGAAATTGACCCAAATGTTGGACTGAATGAGCTGCCTCCGGAGTATTTCGAAGGTGAAGCCGATGTGCTGAAAGTGGGAAAAGGTGTCCTAAGCGAACTAATGGGCGCAATACCTGGTATTGATGAGGCAATGAGCTATGCTGAAGTCATGAAATTGATCAAATCCATGAATTTTTCGATTGTTGTCTTCGATACGGCGCCAACTGGTCACACGTTGCGTCTATTGTCATTCCCACAAGTGGTGGAAAAGGGTTTGGGACGTTTGTTACGGCTTAAACAGCAAATTGCACCGCTACTTTCGCAGGTTGGCAGTCTGTTTGGAACGCAGGACTTTAACGCTGAATCGCTGAGTACAAAATTGGACGAAATGTTGGCCACCATTCGACAAGTGAACGAACAATTCCGCAATCCCGAGCAAACCACATTCGTTTGCGTTTGTATAGCTGAATTCCTGTCACTGTACGAAACAGAGCGTTTGGTGCAAGAGCTAACACAATGCGGCATCGATACGCACAACATCATTGTCAATCAATTGCTAATCAAATCGGACAAAGAAGAACCGTGTCATATGTGCAAAGCACGATACAAAGTCCAATCGAAATATTTGGACGAAATTGCAGATTTGTATGAGGACTTCCATGTTATTAAATTGCCGCTGCAGGAAAAAGAGGTACGCGGTGTTGATGCTGTCAAAGCATTCAGCGAAAATTTGATCGTTCCATATGTTCCGAAATAAGAACCGACCGAAAGACCGCTTACTCGATCGAGTTTAGTTTTATTATGATTTATTCAATCACAATCGACCTGTGTTTTCCGGCGCTCTAATTTCAACGCTTCAAATTTATTTTTAAATGAACTAAAAAATCGATATCAATAATTGGAAGAGAAAAACAAACAAACAATCACCGCAAATCTTTATTTGAGATAATTTTATGGGAAAAATTCGAAATAAATTATAAATGGTGGAAATATACGATTTTTTTGTGTGTTTTTTTTATTCCTTTGTTGAGAATGTGAGTGGGTTGTACGATTTCTCAATTGAAACGCATAATAAAATAATCTGACTGGCGAATGATGTGCTGTTTTTTCAAAGTATAAATTGCGGCGAAATTCTAATTTTGGAGCGTACATTGTCGAATTAAAAAGTTTGGTATTTTTTCGCCCCATAATTTAGGCTTGTCATCTTTACGCATCACTTGATTTTCATGATCCAACTGAAAATATGTTCAATATTCAGCACGAAACTCATAAAAGTGTCGATCGAAATGCTGTAACAGTTGAACAAAAATCTGATATAATTCGATTTCGATGCTACTTAAATGTTCAAAGCTCATGGGCATGCACATAATTTCACTTGATGAGAAGTGGCAAGAAAATACGAAAGTAAAAGTAAGTTTGATTTCCATAACAATTTGCCGAACTCTGTTTGGCTGCACTAAAATATGAAAAACCCGTGATTACTATTCTCAAGATTAAATTGTAAATACAGCATTGGTCCTCTGGATCCGAAGAAACCGTGTAACAGAGAGAAAAAGAAGCGACGACTTAATTTCGTGCTGGAATCAATGTCTTGAAAAGTTCCCACACTAAAACGATGACGACAACAATAATAATGTTTGATTTAAAGATCACTCCAGATTCCAATGTGTTATAAGGAGGCTTTTGTAAGTGTTTGTATGTGTGAGTGAGTGTATTTTTTGCGAATTAGATGATTTTGATTGCTTATGACGCCCAAAGGCTTTTCATTACTGTTTAGCTGCGGCGTTTTGTTTGCTTTTATTCGCTGGTCCGAAATAGTTTTAGCACGTTTTCACGTTGAATGATCTTTCGGTGCAAAAGCCATGCTCTCGAATAATAGACCGAAAACCCATGGAAAAGGTGAATCAAATTTATCGTCACGCTGCATTCAATTGGGATGCAAACTAACAGAAAAGAAGAAACTCATAAAAATTAAAATACCGTAAATCGAACGTATCTCCCTCTCTCTCCCTGCTTCTTTCGCTCGCTCGACTTTCAAAGCCTTCAACCGTATAATTTGTTGACCATTCAATGTTTGTTCAGTTGAATGTTGAAGTATGGCGTTGTCATTTTTCAGCCGAAGCATATTGGCGCGACTGGCAGACTGACGACTGATGCTGAGATACAGCTATATGCTGATGATCTGCCGATGCGTACTTTCGCTTGGTGCATACAGCGCGCAGTTTGCTTGCTCATTTGTTTACTTTTTATTTGAATCTTCAATCAAATTATACAGTGGAACCTCGATTATCCGTCCTCCCATTATCCGTCACCTCTGTTAACCGTCACCCCTTGCCGGGTTGATATTTTTTTTCAGTTCATTTTACTTGAACATACGGATAATGTCGCCGACTGACACTCATAATCAAACTCAATTGTGTTTCGCTTGTACATTCGTTAATTTGAAATCGGAGGCGTTGCTACCGAAAACATTTTCCATATATTGGACAATGAAGCAAATCTATTTTCGTATCTAACATATGACACCCATAGAAAAAGAGAACAAATTATGAGTTCGTTATCCATAACTGGAACGGAAAAAAATTTAGAGCAAAAAAGATACAAATAAAGTAGCGAGCAAAAGTGACACAACCCAGCATTGAGTGGAAAAGATGTTTTTTGCATTTTCTCGCTACTGGAAATAGATAACGAGTAGGTGTCTTAAGCATTATTGTAAAACATCAAAAGAACTACAAACCTAGTCGATATCTGCTTCTAGCAGGAAGAAAAATGCAAAAAACATCTTTTCGACTCAATGCTGAGTTGTATCACTTTTGCTTGCAACTTTATTTGTCTCTATTTTACTCTAAATTTAGAGAACTCATAAGTTGTTCTCTTGTTCTATGGGTGTCATATATTTTCTACATCACCCGATTTTCCATCATAAACTAATAATAATATGGAAGTTTTGATTGGTTGGGCTTATTTTATGAAAACCTCGATTATCCGTCTTTTTCGATTATCCGTCAAGGTGCTGGTCCGGTGCCTGACGGATAATCGAGGTTCCACTGTATAACATAACAATGGCATCAAACGGGTGAACAATTAATAAAGCAGCCAGAAGCCTAGAGAAAATTGGCTAGGGAAATGATTCAGCTAAAATGAGAATTTGTTGCAATCAAAGAAGACGACTACGACGACGAAAAACCGTCGAATCACATGGAAAATACAACAATGCCCGACGCTCAGTTTGTGGTGCATACAGTGTTACAGGATCAGTTGAGATTGATAACAATTAAAGAGGTAGCCTTTGGTTTGACATTTCATTTGGGTAATTGGATTTATTGTAGGTGGTGAATTGTGCAACAAGCGGATGAAACGAAGCTCGAATTTTAAAGCGCACAATATGACACAGTTGCGGTTGGTTTGATGGCTGACTGCGGGCGCCATTTATTAGATCATCAAGCGCGTCCAAACCGTTTGTGAGTGTAACATGTTGAGCATTTAATCATTTCGGTAAGTGATCGAACATGATCTCTGACACGTCGTTTTGTTAATCGTCTTTTGTATTATTTGGCTCTTTTTTTCTCCTCCGGATAATTTAATTTAGTATACGGAAATTGAATCGAATTCCATCCGATTGTATCGCTCCCATTCGAATGAATCAAATGATTCCTATTTAATCATCAAAGAAATGAAACAACAAAAGGGGAAAAACGAAATTCAAATGGAAACAAAGTTAAATCTCGCGGTAGACGCGAGAGAAGCGTGTTAATAACAATAAAATGGTTTAATTTATTGCTACAGACACACACACACTCACACACACATGGCGTAGGTGTGTGAAGAAAATCAATCTCGACAAGCGAAAAGTGTGCCTCAAATGCATTCCATATACAATGGCAATTGCCTGCCCGTCGCACCGCAAACGTACATTGTTCATGTGGGGCAATGTCGAGAGTCTTGCCATCCGACTATAATTAAATTTTATATGAACAACGCTCGCTTTCGTCGGTCTCTCTCTCTCTCTCTCCCTCGCTTGATCTGGAATGTCTGGCTGCTGCTACTGCTGTTGACTGTGTCGACTGTCGGCGGCTCTTGTTTTCAAGTTGCTTGCCAAAATTGATTGTGGTTTGCACGGTAAATGCGTGTCGGTGCTTGGTTTTTCCAAACGTATTCCTATGAATTCTTGTCGATTACCGTCGTTTTAGCACCTTACAAACAATAGCAATTGCAAGTGCTGCATTCGCTAATTAACAATTGATTTTCCGATGCTACGCTTTTGAATTGAGATCAAACGCTTCAATACAACGTGTATGGTAACTAAATCACAGACTCGATGGACGTTAAATACGTTGGGTGTGTGTGTGTGTAGACGATAGAATGAGTTTCTTGCTGCAAGTGATAATTAGTCATGAAATAAAGTTCATTACAATTGAGTGATTACCTTAGTATGTTGTACTTTTTTTTTCTCTCTTGACTTCTCGACTGTGTAAATTTGCTCAATTTTAACTCTTAATGAGTAGATTGCTAATAAGTTTCTCATATAAATTTGAAGAGAAAAAAAGAGCCGAAAGCGATGCAATTTCTTTGGGTTTTCTTCAATTTTCAAATGAATTTGTCTTTCGTTCGCTTCCCACTTAGAATGCAAACACAGAATCTCACCTCTAAACCAAACAAACAAATTCGATTGCTTCAATCACCGATAAAATCATAATTTCAATTTCAAAACTCGAGCCAATCGAATCATTGTGAAAAGGATGCTACAAAGTATGCAATGGAACACGAACATAGAAAATTGAATATGAAATGGCAATAAATTCTGTGATGTGTAAAATGTGCACGTTTCCGGTTAATAATGATAAATATCCAAGAGAATTGATAACTTGTCACTTATGAACATTTCACAATTTTTATCGCGCGTTAAAATTCAATAAAACGGTGGAAAATAATCGTCAATCGATTAAAGCTTGTTTCCTTCGTTTGTGAAATTGTGCGATACACTGCAATTTCCCATTATGATTTACTAACATGTATATTTCATTCGAATTGGCCACTTTTTCGCTCTCCAGAAAAGTGATTGTCTTGCTTGACTTGCTTTTAATTGAAATATGAAATTATCTGTTGTTCTTGTTTTTTTTTCTCGCACTAGAACTCATCATTTTTCAATTACAGCGATTCGAATGAAAGATTTTGTTCCAATGGAAATCGCTTAAAAACACCTTGTTTCAATCGATATTAGTATTATGATTTTTTTTTGATGGATTTGTTGTCTGTCATTGATATGGGGCAGCTATTTCACACCACCAAAAATTAACATTGCCAACGACGGAGTCAAAAAAAAAGAACAAAACAAACAAAAACAAACGTGAAGAAAACAGTCGTGATAAATAAACAATAGATGTAAATGAAAAGATGAACAGAGGAAAAAGAGCCGTATTGCCGTTTTATTGTACCGTTTGCGATTGAACACACATATTTATGAACTTATGCAATGCAAAACGGCATTTAGTCTCATCATTGTGGGCACTTGCATTGAAAAATTATTTCGCAGTTTAGTCTTTCATTTCAATTTCAATGATCTCGCTTCTTTTCTAATTACATTTGAACACAAATCATCATCGGCGCATTTCATTTTTTCGGACAGAGAGAGAGAGAGAGAGAGAGAGAGAGAAAGAGCAACAGCAGAGATAGATGCACAACAAACGATTACATCATTTTAATTGTTCTGTTAATTTTGAGGTCATTGTAATTGTTTTGCTGCTCGCATAGAATTTTGGCTGACACATGAGACACGCGAAAATGTGTATGTCTATATCGGATGCTTTTTTTTATTCGAGAGTCGAAAATTGAATAATTTTCGGCATTTCGACAGGCATCAGCAGCAGCAAGAGAATTGCTTGGTCTAGAAACCACAAACGGTAACATGGGCCTTGTTTTCTTCGCTAACGAAAAAAAACGCGAAGAATCTAGCTGTTACAATATCATCTTCCGCAAACCACTTACAATCACAAATGTGGTTGGGCAACGCTCGATGTATATTCCGTTTTCTAATTGAATAATAATTATTATTTCACATTTTGGTTTTTAATTAGCCGAAAATTTGTTTTTCGATTAAATCTCTGCGGTTTGTGTGTGCATCTCTAAGACGCGTTCCGGTTTATTACTCGCGCGCACCGTGTGTGTTCGCAGCACAATGATCTAGTAATGCCATGGATGTACAATGTAATATGCAATTGTTCCGCCCGAGCAATGAACATTCACTCGTCATCTTGATCTCACCTCCTTTTGCGTAGCAATCGGAAAGTGTCGACATACAAGCGACAAAATGACTAACCTTCGGCATTTCTGGGAACTCTATCAATTTTTTATTCGAATTGTCAATTAATTTTTCGAACCTTTCTGCAAATCCATCAAGTCCCATCACCGTTTTATTACTTGTGATTAAATGTCATCTTCAATCATCGATGATTGATTCCTGTCGCTAGTGGCGAGGAGAATGTCAAATTGCATCAACTGAATTACGCGGCCACGGTGGCATAATAAGATTGAAGACAGCTCAGCATGTTTGCAGACGAGGAATAGTTTCAATTGGCTGCTTGTGGTTAAAATGTCAATGAGACGACCAATTGGGGGACGAAAGTCTCGAAAAATCCACCGAACAAAAATATTCCTTGACTAAATTCTTACTCTCCAAAAACAAATAAAGCGCACGAATGCAGGCGCAGAGAAAACAAACAAGATTACCGTTTTTAAATGAGTCATAAGCCATAAATAATGCACATTTTGCACATATTTTCGCATACATTTAATTGTTCTCGTTCCAGCTAACAGCATTACGAAAATTTCATATTTCGAATTCATGTAAAAAATTACAATTTTATTTTTCAGAAATAAAGAACAGTCAAAACATGATTTCTAATTAAATTACAAAGCGTAATATTGCACAATACCGACCGGCTGAATATTGCTCCACACAGCGTGTGGTGCACCGCCAAAAGTTGGTTCCGTCGCCGCAAATGCTTTCCCAGCCATTATGATCGTAGTTGTCGTGCATTTTGCGCTGCCGACGTCGTGAAAAACTCTTCGGTCGAAGAATTTCGATCAAAACGAGAAGATAAATTGGGCCAATCAAGAAGGACACCACTGCAAGGGTTTTCATCCCGTTATATCATCTAAAAATGACAAGTGAGAGGCATTTTATTCGGCCACGATCCAATTCCATCATATTTTTTTGTCTTCTTCTTCTTGCACTCATTCAAATTCAATCTCGTCGGTGCTCATTCAGCGTATCAATGAATTGAACTTTCGAACTATTACGAACGGTTACAAGCCCGAGAGTGATCGTTCATGCTAGTGTGTCGGTTTGCTACGAAATTTCGTACACCGTGTACCTCACACTTCAACTACGAACTCTCTGCGGCTGCATCTATCGTTCAGCGCAAAAACCCATGTAGCGCGCTTGTTTGTTCATTTTATGCCCGCGCGCACCGTGTTACAATTCGTTTGGGTGGCGGTCGACTCTCGTGGGGATTACTATATAAATGAAACAATTGCCAGATTATTCATCTCATTTGAACATATCAACTCAAAAGTACCGCTCGAAAACAATCCGAATCCGAAATTAAATCATCGGATAGATTCAAACGGAAGAACGAAAACGTCCGTTAAAAAGTACATTCAGTTTTTCATCGTTCAAGATTCAGAAGTGCAGTCGAAAAACAATTCATCTTAATAAAATCATCCACCGGGGATTTTTGTGCCGTTTTCGTTTATTATTTCATTTTTCTCGCGTTGAATATTGCGTGCGACACAGAAATCAAGTCGTAATCGCCGATATACGATGATTTAACCGGAGAACGAGTAAATAAAGAACATTCAAATCTTGATGCGAGAATCCCACTTTTTATGCATTTCAAAATTGAAAACATATACAACAATTGAAAAGCAACAGAACTAACGGTGCGCCCTTCAGAGACTATGTGTTTGAGATAGAAATTGTAAATTTAGCAAAATTGTGTGTGAACGAATTGGTTTTGTGCGTATCGTTTGAGTGGAAAGGGTAGAAGTATAAAGTAAATCCAACCAATTAGGATCGGGTGATTGAAGTATCATTAAATTTAGAGCGAAATAGTCAAAATTCTAAGAACGAATTCTTTTTCGGCAAAAAATCAATTTGAAACAATTAAGTAAAGAAAAGTTTTTGAAAAATTGCCGTTGAACAATGTGGAAAATAATCGTGTTGGTATCAATTGCTGTTGGATTATATTTATTGGATATCGATACCGTGAATGGCGTAAGTATAACATTTCTTCCTTGGTTTTGAGTCTCATAAACTAGTTGATCTAAAATTTAAGAAACAATTTGTTTGTGCAAAGAATTGGAAATTGCCAACTGGAAGATTGAGATTGCGATGTGCATTTATGCAAAGAAGAGCAATCTTGTCTATTTCACTAGCAACGATGTGCTGCAAAAAGTGTTGCATATATGCGAAATATCTTGTTGAAATGATTTTCGTCTTGAAATTTATTTTCGATGCGCTTGAGAATCGAAGGCTCTGATTGGATTTTCATATCATCAAGAAGCAACCATTACTGTTACTGTTGCTGTTAGTGCCGCTGTCGCCGCAGTCGTTGAATGGAAAAATGTCTGGTTGAGACATTTTCGGTGTTACGGAATTTCCATTAATAACACAAAACGTCTATCCCAATATGAATGTATACGAAGCTTTTCACGCCAAAACAGAACAATGCGGTAAATTGTAATGCGAGGCGTACCGAACGATTGTTTTCCAACTACAACCACTTGTGGTGGCATCATACCCAAGATTGGCAATGATGAAAAATAATGAAAATTAATTAAACGTATTTACGGGTTTACATTGATTTAATACGTTTGGAAATTTGTGCGAGAATTAAAAATTCAGAGCGATGGATTAATAATTTGTTGTTTCTGCTATTCGTTTGAGCTTTTCGAAATGCAACCGATCGACGTGTGTTGATTTGTACGTGTGTCTGTGTCTGCATGCGGAGAAGAAACAAAACTTAAGAGACGCCGTTTGTGTGCGCGTAGATTGCTGAGGAGTCGAAGCACGTTGATTTCAATGCAACATGCGAATCTTACATTCAATTGCAGCTGACATATCATGCATCAGCACTTGCACTCATTGATCATTTGCTCAATATGTGTGTGCGAGCGCGTTTTTTTCGTCTTTCTTCCATTGCTCGATCGACGAATTGTTCGCCTTTCTTCGTCAGCCACACTGACGTGCACAGCCATCATTTTTACACGTTGCGAGCGCAGAAGATGCGCATATAAATATGTGAATTTAATTTGTTTCACTACACAAATTTAATTTGCTAGTTTATATGAGAGCACCGCGGCTTGGTTCCTGACGGCTTTTAGAGCGGATGAAATTGTATAATCGAAGTATACAAAAAAAATGATTATCATGTTAGAATTTGTTTCCTCGATTGTTTTTCTTCTTTTTTCTTCCATTCGTTTTCATGACGCTGTAGTATGCATGATTGTTGGTTTTTTCGAGTGTGTGTGTTTGTCATTGAATTGGCATTTGCGATTTCAGTTTTGTGATTCCAACGAAATTCGATCAATTTTTCCGCCGAACCAAAAGGTGCGTATCACGCATGTAAAACGCATTGTTCCATCCATTTCCATGATGTGTTTTCCCGTGCTGGAAATAGATAATTAGTATTATTTCTGATGGGTTTGTATGTAGTCATTTACACTCGACAACCCGATTTCCATACCAAATTGAAAGTAATTGATATTATGGCAACGAACTTTTATTTGAACAAATTGACGATTAATTCTTGACACTTTGGCGAGATGTAGTCGTCGATTCCCCGAAATCAATTTAAAGAAGAGAAAAAAAAGCAAGAAAATTATGAGGTGTTTTAAAGAGAGAAAAATAATGTCTGCGTATTTTAATGGGCAAGCGGCTTTCATTCAATAATAATTTTACGCAAAAAAACAACAATATACTCAAAGATGTTACGAATGAAGGAAAGAAAATACGTAAAAAAATTATATAGGCATTTTCATATGAATCACAGAGAGCAAGGGTTATGGTCAACATAACGTTAATGATTTTCAATTGAAATTTTTGGCAATTTATTAAATTATGATATACACATTACATCATCCATTTTTAGTGGTTCGAGAATATGTCGGATAATCATCGGCTACATTGTTTGATCATTTCAATTGGTTTTTATGTGTAACGCAATCGCAATTTAATTGAATTGATGGAAATGATCACATCAATTGTGCACAATGGGGGGAGAAATTTTCATAATAAACCATCAATCACATAAAAAAACATAAACCTGTTCGCGCCAACTCAACGCCGATTGCAATGTAGATGGATGGCAACTTTGAATCATCTGAATCTGCGATCATCTGAACCCCAACTTTGATAATTTATTCAATTGTTCGAATGGAGCACAAAAATCCATTTGAGGAAATGTGTATGTGTGCTTGCGGTTGTGCAATCATTGGCGAGCAGACATATATGTGATGAAATTAAAGTGCTATTTTTTGTTTGTTTGTTTTTCCGATCGATGTATGGTGGGTCAAGAGGCGAAGGCATTTAAAACGATGTAAAATCAAAAGAAAATTTACATAAAATGGTTTTTCTGCATCAGTTGCACATCTGAGGGAGTAAATTGTTGAAATCATGCTGCGTCTTACGCTGTCAAATGAACGCAGCTGAGCAGAAAATTACTTGCAGATTGATGTACTTAACTTGACTTAAATCAGTGTCAATTATTTCCAATTCACCTAATAATTGTTTATACATTTCTTTTTTTCTTTAATTCAACGAAAATTACATCAAAGAACCCGAACAGAAATACCTCTTTTAGTTCTGCGGGTTTTGCGATTTCTTTCTAGATTTAAACTTAGTTTTTGAGGAATGACAACGTCATATTATCGAAATCTAGTGTCGTTATGGCACTTTAAGTTTGAAATTCAGTACTTGGTTAACTTTCTTAAATTTTCTTCATTTTTTTCCAACTTTCAGCAAGTGGATGGATATATAGCCGGAATAGATTATCCGGCCTATGATACGGTGCCAAAGGGATTGTCATTCAGTTGCAAGGGACGATTGCCTGGTTACTATGCCGACATTGAGACGCGTTGCCAAGTATTTCCAATGAAAATTCGATATTTCACTTTCGATTTACTGATTAATTCTCTTTTTATTCATCGTTAGGTTTGGCATTGGTGTCTCTTTTCCGGCACAATATATTCATTCCTCTGTCCCAATGGAACGGTATTCAATCAAGCGTATCGCGTTTGCGACTGGTGGACGAATGTAGACTGTCCGTTTGCGGCATCACTTTATCGAAACAACGAAGAGTTGTATCGTGATCCTAATACGAATGCAGTATGATATACGAATCGAGACGTAGGTGGCGTTAGAGATGTGGTAGTGCTCTCGACTCGGAATTCCCAGCAAACTCAACAAAAACCGCAACAACAACAGCAGCAGCAGCAGCAGAAGCAGCAGCAACAGAAAGAGAGAAATGGAAAATTGATAGTGTCAGAACCGGTAATGCAGCTGCCAATGAAAACAATACCACCACCAGCAACACTCCCAATACAGCCCATTCAATTTATTACCCAAAAACCAAATCCAAATCCAATTCCAATGACTCCGATCTTTCCAACAATTCCAATCCAAATGATCAATGAACAATTACATGCAGCCCAATCACAAAATTCCTATCAACAACAAAAATTGCCCGTCCATATGCAAGCCCATATGAAAATATTATTCGATATAGTGAATGGATCACAGACGCCAGTGAGACGAAGAAGACGCAAGAGCAGACGACAACGTAAAGTACGCAATCATTTAGAGGAAAGTTCAAATTTTTGGCCAGATCGTTTGGTGTCGAAAGGCTCGTATCCAATAAAAACCACATTAAAACCAGCGCTTGGCACTGGCACATTTGGCAATGTCAACGATATCGCATACGCAATTAGTTTAAGTGGAAATAACAAAAGTAGTTTTAATCATAATAATTCAAACAGTTCGAATCGATTCAATGATTTCGATGTTGAGACGCGAAATTATAAAATTTGGAGCCCAGTTAAGGCGGAAAATGTGCTCGAAGCACCGTTTGCAACATCAACAAGTGCGGGCAAAACGCGAATGATCATCATCAGTGGCAGTCGAACGATCACCACTTCAACGGATCGCACCGGCAATGCGGGCAAACAACATAATACAAAACATCGAAAGGAATCCATGCAACAACGACCCACAGATGATGATAATCCACGAATGCTGTCACATTTAGGGGCTCCGAAGCGGCTCGATCACGGACACGGCCCATGGAAAAACAAATACAACATCGATTATGACAATAAATTAGAAGACGAGTATGAAATCATCATGAAGGATGAATAAATCCGCGACAAATTAGACAAATTCGATTTAATTTATTATTTCTATGTAGGACATTCTCCTCTTCACTACCTTTCAATTACTTTTTTTTCTTCTCTTTTAATGATAAACCAATATGTGTAAATTTGTAGCTTTCGAAGAGAAATTATTTAGATCGATGAAAATGACTAACATTTGGAATAAAAACTTTGGACTTTTCTTCTGTAGTAAATAGATGGATGAGTCTTTTATTTGTATTCAGATTGAATAAGAAAACTGATTGGGAAAGTTGACGATGATGATCAACTGAAAAGATTGAAAAAACAGTAGCAAATGCTAATTGGTGAAGCCTGAAAAATTAGGAGCACAAAGAAGAAACATCGAGGTAAGTAAATGACTCGTTTTTATTCATTTTCTTTTCATGGTTGTCTACATTCGGGAGATTAATTTTAGTTTGAAAGTTTTTGAAAAAGCTCTTCTTTGCTTTGCAGTTTCATTTGTTTTATCGTCATTGGTGTTTGGCATGTTCTGAAAGTTCTTCCAGCACAAGATGTTCGTGTCGCTTCTCGCAATCGTGTAAAAAGTTATCGGACGTGGTTTTGATTTGTGAATACTCTTTCATCAATGGTTTGATGCGATTGAAAACGGCTTTGAACAGTGTGTCGACGTTTTCTTCGACTGTTTCGGGTGGAATCGCTTTATCTTCATACGACACGAGATGCAAATCATGCAGAGGTAAAGCCAAAACTTCATTTGGATATTCTTTTCGGATCATTGGCCGCTTGCCATTTACATTACGAAGCAAATTGACCAAGTGTTGCATTGCAAACTGCACTTTAAACAATTCACCTTCGATTGATTTCGTTTTAACTCCGATTAATTTTCTGGTTTGCAAATCCAAACCGATTTGCTCATTAACATGATCGATTCGTTTAATCACTTCGATATCTTCATTCTGAACGCTATAGCTGAGTTGATCTTTAAATTGTTTCGCCTTCCCTATGCGCTCATCCATTTCGACCAGTTTATTTTCCAGAACGCCGATTTTCTCTTCGCCCGCTTTCAATTTCGTGAAAATATCTTTTACCGTTGCAAATAGTTCCGTTGTATTTGCGCAGGCAGCCGCATCACACAGTTGCTTTGTTTGATTGTCGACTCGTTCATAGTGCAAACGCAAATCGAATACGCTCGATGTTTCTCGTACGTATCGATCGGGTGCGATGGCAATGAAATTCTCATCTTTCGGCAGATGCTTGAAAATATTCCGTTCATTCTTCAATAGATCGCGTTTGTATGTGCTGATCGTGGTTTGACGTCGAGCCGCTTCGCTGGACATTCGTTTTTCCATATTTTCCAAATATTTTTTATTCTTTTGTGCGCTTTCATATGCTGGCATTCCCAATTTATTGATCGATTTCAAAATGTTATTCTGTTCGTTTACCTCACTTTCGAGAGAGTTCAAGGTGTTAACATAGTGTAACGACTCTTCGGTTAGCTGGTTTATAACGCTTTCGCAATGCCGATGGAAATTTTCATAGGTTTGAATTTGAATTTCGGAATTGCCCAGTAAATATTCCAAATGTTTGACTTTAAACTCTTCATTGGTTTGATGCGGTTCCACGTATTTCTCACGGTCTTGTCGTTCGGCCAAATAAATTAGCTTGTATTCATACAATTGGCACAATTTTTCTTGCTCGTAACGCAGTAGATCCAACATTTTGCGTTTGTCAAACAGTCGACATTCACAGTCTTCCATGATTTTATCGGGTGATTTCTGTGCATTAACCGGCTCATTGCGTTCTTTCAGCAAATTTTTTACCCTTTGAAATTCGACCGTTTTTAATTCATGCAATTTTAACTGTTTCTCTTTGACTTGTTGATCGAGCTCAGTCAGAAATAGGCGTTTCTCCTTCAATTCGGATTCATGTTTTGCTCGTTCCAACTCGAAATGCAAGTGAAATATGCGCTGAATGCATTTGTATTGATCGACCTTATCGGTTGAGTCCCACTTTAAATCTGGCCGTAATCGTGGCTTCGGTGGCCGATGTCCAAAGTAATTATACTTTTTACCGACTTTTGACTGCATCGTCTTCATTTTGTCAATGTTCCGATTAAAAGTGATGACTAAAATTTGAACTGATTTTCATTTCTATTCGGTTTACTTTGATTTTTTTTCGAAGCCATCAAAAAGCAAGCAAGTTTCTACAATTCACAAAGCAACTATTCAGAACAACAATTGATTTGATGTTGACATCAATGCCTACTAGGAAGAAAACAACTCGATCATATTTTATTTTACGTTTTCATATCAAATTCATTTTCAGCTCGGAATTATCACTCACACGTCTGATAAAGGTATGCCAATTTGATCGGTTGATTCATGATGTATGCTCGTACACATATCACTCAAACTGATGCACATTGAATTGTGCGAAAAAGAAAAATAACACAGAAGCAAATGAAAATACAGCGTACAACCACAAACGAGCAACAGTGGCAACAGCAAAGATTCAATTGCAAAGGTAGTTAGCAAGAAAGCGACCAGAGATAGAGAGAGAGAGAGAGAGAGAGAGAGAGAGAGAGCGAATATATATACGTATAAAGTGGCGAATACATCGAAACCATGGCAAGAAAATCAATGGAAAACAATGCATGATTCTGTTGATGAGTGTGTAATACACGGCTATGCTGTGCATTCACCAAACAGGCCAACGACCAATACAAAAACAGCATCGAACCAACCACGATCAGAAGTACAATCGACATTCAACACAAAGCACACAGCGCGCGCACGCCATGCATCACATCGTCCATACCATTTAGTCTTTTAGTAACTTTGCTTGAGTCAACATAGAAAATTTCCTTCTGTCGTGGAATTTCGTGATTTTCGCTCTTTTTTTTCGGTTTTATATATATGTGCACACTCACACACAGTATATTTGTTGTTTGATTTATTCTGTGTGTTATTTTTTTTATTTCAAATTTTTTCTGTTGCTGTTTTTCGGTAGATTTTTCGTATATCTTGAGTTAGAATTAACGCAAACATACGAAAAATAAAAAAAAGAAGAAGTAAAGAGCAAAAAGGCAGTAGAAAAATTAAAGGCACTACAAGTACATGATAAATATAAACGTATGTAATTTTCAAATCACAACAAATAATACAATATATTAACGAAGAAGAAAAAAGAAATCGTTGATACTATAACATTATATAAAGAAGAGAAGAAAAAAAATATTACTGAAGAGAGAGAAGACGAAAAGTACAAAACGGCATTAGTAGCCGTGGCTGTTGATGTTTAAGTTTATATATATATATAAATCTTTTTTTTTAAACGAACGAAAGATATAAAGTAAAAACAACTAGTTTGCTCTGCTTGTGAAAATATCCATAGAAATTAAATGGTGCGCGTTCGTCGATATCTCGCCTATTTGTAAAACATATATACGATTTGCGAGAGGGAAAATATACCGTCAATGCTTGCACGCAGCTTTTTAGCAACAAAATCTCTTTGTCGCCATTATCATCAACATCATCGTCGTCGTCGTCGACATCGTTGCTGTTAATTTGCACATTTTGTGTATGTGTGTTTGTGTGTGTGTGTGTGTGTGGCGAAGAAAAAGATTTGCCAGCAAGATTAAGCATCCGATTCGTATGTGTCAAATCGCGCGCTGTGTGCACTAAGATCCTTGCTTGCTGTGGAAAAAAAGACATTTATATGCATTAACATTTTTTGTTTGTTTGTTTGTTTCGTCGAACTGTTGTCGTTGAGTAATCGCTTCCGTTTCACGGAACTGACAAGAATTGCATGGACACAACAAAAGAAAAAAACAAATACACGTTGGACTCAGAACTGTGCAACCGTACGTAAGAGTTTTGGTTTAAAATCGCACAACGGAAAAAAGGAGCGACCGAAAAAAAAACAATCTATACTGAGAGTAAAAATTGAATGTGCGTTTGTGATATAAGTGAAATACATTGAACACGTAAATATTTATAAACAGTTTACAGTTTATTTTTTGGATTTTTCTTTTCGTTTTTCAATCCGATTGAGAAACGAATTTAAAACACTGCAAACGAATCACATATACGAACAAATCGCCGCGACAGTGGTAGATTAACAGCGGGCCAACTGAATAAAAGCGAGAAAAGAAATAACGATACAACGAATCGAAGCCACCGCAACTACAACAAAAGTCTTCAACAACTGGTTTTAAGCCGTTGGTGCGTATTTTTTTCCTGCGTTTTATCGCTGTGGTATTATTTGGGCCTCTTTTCCCAATCCGAAAAAAAGGAACTATTTTTTGCAATCATATAATCATAATCGATTGTTGGTTGTTGTTGTTGTTGTTGTTCTTTTATTTAAATGATAAAATATCCCGTCTAAGTTTATGTGCTGTCGTGATTTATATAAAGCATTAACGAAAAAAAATTTGAGACAGCCGCTGCAAAGCAGCTCAATTTCCCAAAAAAGGAAAACAAATACTCATTGGACATGTCAAACGACAGAGAATACCGAACAAAAGATTTTGCTAAGATGCTTTGATGTTCAGTGAAGGAAGAGAGCGAAGCAAATAAAAAGCAACGCACCGGAGGAAGTCGTTAAATTCATCGGTTGATTCCAAGCGGTAGATTGGAACGATGATTCTTTTCGATTTCGTCGTGCACTCGCGAATCAGCGTCGTAATGAGCGCGGAAAGAAATATATCGTTTTTTGTTTCGTTTCGTTGCCATTATGCATGGAATGGCTTTAGTATGCAAAACGCAACCAAATAAGAAATTAAAAGAAAGACAGAAAAAAAACGACGTAATACAACGAGCGCATTCGCATTCGTCAATTAAATTGAATCGCGTAGATAAATGATCGAACATTGAAAATAAATTGTGTGTTTGGGTTGAAAAATATAAGTAAATTCAGTCATAGAAAAAAAAATTTCACATTTTCTCAGTCGGTTGTAAAGTTAACGTTAGCAGCTACTGCTGCTTATGGCTGCGAGAGATAACAAAAAGCTGGTTTTGTTGTGAACAATTGCACGGACGCATGATTTTACACACGCATATTAAGCATTCGTCCAGTTTTTTTTTCGCCAGTTCATTTAAATATGCGTGAACAGCAGTGAGCGTTTTTTCTTCTTCTTCTGTTGTTGTCTAGTTTTTTCTCTTTCTATGCTCATTACTACATTTATTATCTCTATCTCTGGATATGGTCGGTGTGTATGTGCAGTGCGAAACGTTGAGAAACGATCTTTTTTCTCTTCTTCTTCTGCTCTTTTATTTTTATCATGAACATTTTTTTCTTCTTTCAAATGGTAAAATGCACTGTTTTACGTCTCAGCCCGTTAAATTTGCAATATTATCGTAGTTTATTTTTTGCTGCAGGCACATCACACCGGCATCTAATCTCTATAATGGCTATGTGCATGTGTGCGTCGATTGCATGGCCACACATCAAATATGTGTGTTCTCAATTTATGTACATGTTGTCGAGTCTTTTTTTTTCTTTTCTTGCACTTCTCTCTGCCGTGTGCTCTTTGAACGCGGTGTGTATGCTTTTTTTCTTGCGGTTTTAGCGATTCTCAACGAGTCAATTACACATTCTTACCCATTTCCTCCGCCCCAAAAGTAGCAATCATCTAAATAAGGGATACCAATTTATTTTCTACTATTTCTTTCTTTTTCGTCTTCAGAAAATGCGGCTAACCGCCTTACGAATGTGCAATGCACACGCTACCGTGCGCTCACCATATCACCTTTCATTCCACCGTGCGACGATCACCATTTAAGTCTGTTGCAATAACGGAACTAACCCATATACTCCAATCAGTGGTTGTGAGCGCAACGTGCGCGCGCGCGTGCATTACACAAGCCCGATAAAAGATGATTCGAAAGTATATAATCATTCAAAACAAATCCTATATTCGATTTAACAGAAGCCCCATTCAATCATTCAATTACCGATTCTGCAGTATAATTTATGTGCTTGGTGTAAGCGAAGTGCTAGCCAAACCCGAACTCAGCAAGTGACAGAGAGATTAAAGAAAAAAAAAGACTAAAGGCTCCAGCACACGCTCCACTCCATCATACTTTTCCTTTTCTAATTGATCAGGTAACAGATGAAATGGAAATTAGTTGTTGGTTTATCTCGTTTGCATTCGAGACTCGAGTTAAGCGGCGGTGCTGTCACTATCGTTGTCGTCGTTTGTCTCCGCCGCGCCACCGCTGCAACAGCACACCTCCCCAACCGATCGTTCGATCTATCGATCGCAGAAGAAAAATGTCATGTGCTTTGTATCGCACATATCTTTATTTTGCGTCAATAGACACAATTCGAAAGGGAAACCAAAATGCTATAGATAGAAGTTTTCTCGTCCGTTCGATGCAATACGTCAGAAATGTCGGTGCATTTAATTGCCCCGCTTCGACTATTTATAACGCATATATTTTGTTGTGTGTTTCATTTTTCTTCGCTTCGTTTTGCTGGCTCACTTTTTGGGCTCTCTGCAACATACACGAACTGAAATGAAAATAAATGCATTACTCCATTAGCTGGATTGCAGCGAACATTTTAGACAACTACTAGCGTCACTTCGTATATTCTCGTGTGTAACATTATTTTTATTGTCGTTGTCGCTGTTGTTGTCGTCGACATCGTCGACATGAAATCGTAAACACACGCAGAAAAATGAAATCGATGTTAAAACAGACGTTGCGATAACACGATATCGAGTGGCTTTTTTTACTTTACTTCTTCTATTTCTTTCCACTCTTGATGTGTGTGTGTGTGTGTTATTCGCCAGTTAACATGAACATATTTTTAACACAGAAACAACACGGTGACTGCTGGCCATCGAATACGTGTGTAAAACTAGAAAAAAAAGACTTTTCATAAACCAGATTGAAACGGAATTAGTTGTCAACCACATTGCACGTTGAGCTTATATACATTCGGGGCAAATTGAATTTCGTCGTCGACGTCAAGTGTTGACGCGAATTGAACACCATTGCAGACGACCAGTGGAATGCTCTACAGATCGATTCGGCGATGATGATCGAAAGCCATCCAATGGGCCGAATTTGTAACGATCTTCGCATAGATGAGTGCGTACACGCATGACACACACACAACATTTCATCTCGAATCTCGATTTCAAGAGTTTTCTGCTCCAATTTAATCCATTCATGTGGAAAACCATTGAAACGAACAAATTATCTACACTGAAGTAGATCACTTCATTCGTTTAACGAATCTTGTTTTCGTTTCGTATGCCCCGTTTTGGTCCGAAAAATACCGAGAAAACCATCCTTGTGTAAATGTTTCAATTTCAATAGTGCTTCGCATTCTTTTGTGTCAATAATCAAGGGTAACATTTGCCACATTGTCAGTTGTCGATGAGTGGTCAAACATTTGCCATGGATTCGGTGTCGTCGATAACAAATGAATGGTTTGGAGCGAAAATTTAATACAGAAAAGTTGAGCGGAAAAATGTCAAATGAAAAGGGATAGCTATATAGTTCACTATAGTTTAATATACAGTTTACTAAACAGCTATCCCTTTTTCGCTCATTCATCATCGACATTTTTCAGCTCAACTTTTTTGTATTACATTTTTGCTCCAAACCATTCAAATGTGAGTGCTATGAGCGACTATACTCAATGGAGCGACATCATTGTGCGTCAATGCCATAACGAGACGTTATTTCCACATTTCTATCGTTTGGATTCACACAGTCAAAGGTTTTTAAGTTATCTCTAACTTTTCAAGCTTCTAATTTATTGAGAAATATTCCTCGGCGAATACACCTTTTTCTCTTTCGCTCATCTCTTTGATCGTCCGATCACGACAGACGCGTGTTGTGAGAGACCGAAAAGAACAGCGGCAAAAAAAAGGTGAATAAAATAGGAGTAACGCCACCGATTAACAGATTAAAAATAGTTCAGAAACAATCATCCAAAAATAGAATGAAAATTGGCAACGCAACAACATATTCACACTTGAATTAATCAAGTCGAAAGCGTTATAATTTTATTTCACTCATTTTATTCGTTTGCTAGTTCATGCCTAGCGCAGATCATTGTTGTTATCGTTCGTTGTTGTGGTTTCACTGTGTACGCGCGCACGGCAATTGTTTTGTTGAGCTGTACAGTTATCGCTTTGCTTTGCGTAGACAAGCTCGATTTTGCTTTCGAGTCGAAGAAATACAATGAAAAAACACACCACCATCACACACACATACATGCATCAGAAGTGAGAGAAGTGCGCATTTCATCTCGTACAAGTTGACCGGCTTCGAGGTGGTGGCTTCTTTCAAGCCTATAGTTCAAGCCTAAAGCTCATTGTTTGTATGATTGTTTGTGTGTGGATTGTGCTGTACACTTTGCAGATTGCTTCAAATTTGGAGCTTAATGGCTAATCGCTTCATTGTCTATTGTGTACATAAATGCATATGAATGAAGAGTGTCGGTGTACATTCGCGTCCGTCATTCCGAAATAAAAGAAGAAAACAAAGATCAGCGGACACTGAGAGAGCATTGAAAGTGATTTATCGACTTCTTTCTCTTTTTTTCGACACTTTTTACAGCTCTTGTTAGCCACTTATTTCTATTTCTCGCATATGATGCGAACCATACTAACCATGTTGTGTGTCTAGTCAAATTAGACGGAAAATACAACACTTCAAACCATTTATGAGCCAATTCAAACGGCACTCATTTAATGAATGAAATTCCAATTGTTCGCCAAAAGCACGTTGTGCTGTATTTTTCCCTCGTTTCTCGTGCTCGCTTTTCATTTTGTCCATTTCCTTTTCTATGGTGTGGTTCACATGATTCGGAAGTGTGTAGTTTTTTTTCCTCTGTGTGTTTAACCTCGTCTTCAATTTACGTCGCATGAACCATAAATTTTTTGGTCACGCCAAGTGAAAACTGTATATTACGGTTGATCTGAACTGAAAATTTGACGAAGAGAGAGCCAGCGACTTTGTACGACTACGGAAAATCATTCAAATTCACACATAATATTCAGTCATGATTCAAATGTTGCGCGTCACATTTATAAGCACCTTAGAATTTTCTTCATATGAATTTTTTTTTATTATAAATTATTTTTGATGTGGCCGTCGTTTTCCACTTCTCGTTTATGCCAAGTCTATATTTAATTTCCGTGTGCGCCTTTTTTACACATTCGATTATGATTTGTCCATATTGGCGTTGTATGCTCCAAATT